ATAGAACATTTTTCCTGCACCTTTTTATTCTCCCGATACTCGATCTTCGTAGCGGATTTAATTTCTGTGGCACACTTGGCAACGTTTTACCAAAGAAACACAGCATCCTATTATGTACAGAGCCTCACCCACAGGAACATCTAATCTCTCTCAAGCGCTGTACTTTTGTCCTACTATTTTTTTTTGGCAGACGACTGGGTGACGACTTGTCTCCTCATGCTACTCTTCCTCCTGGTCACCTTCCTGGTCCTGCTTATCATGGCCTATTTTACTGCCTGGGTAACGAGCGTTCGTCCCTCTGCCATCAGTTCAAGGGTGACTTGAGCTATTGGTACATGAAAATCAAGCACTACTACCTGGGCATCGGAAAACACTGACTTCCTGATTGTTGCCTCCCTGTAATAGATTGTAGGGCCGTGCCATATATTCAAATATGCAAATATTCATTTGATAGCCAAGTCATTGTAAAGTGATTGTTAAATAATCAAATTTTCATTCAGTCTTGAATAATGAAATATTCATTTGATTCTTGAATAATTGAATATTCATTCGATGGGTGAATAGTTGATTTTCATTTGATTATATAACAGAGTACCGAAGTGATACGTCATGGGCATATGGTTTCAGCACAAGTACCAACACCCATGCGTTCTTCATTTGGTTACACAATACACGTCCCAGTTTGAAGGACGTCACAGTTTGGTACTCTACTGAAATATTTGATCATCAGATATTCTAATATTCATTTGAATGGTGAATAATCAAATTTTTTATTGATTTTAATATTTAGGAAGGGAGTAATGCTGCTGGATGAAAAGAAATAATAAGATGGACTTTCTTCTCTTTTGTTGATTCTTTCTTTAAATCATAGATTGCAATATAGTTTTTTGTGTGATATTGTAACAACTGTTCTTGACTCAAGACCTACTTCCTCAACATTTAATATTCAGATATTCAGTCGTTAAAATTCTGCAAATGGGATTCCAAATTGTCCAAATTCACACCTCCCTGTGAGGTTGTATTTAAAAACATTTTTTCAAGGGACATATAATGAATCTTAGGCATTTCCACCATCTATGAAAAATGGAAATCTCTGGTATAAAATTTGCCCTACTTGATCATTTCTGATTGCAACTCAAGTACTTTAAGTTCAAGTTACTTTCTTTCCAGGAAAAGTTCGGTCTCATACTATGCTTCCTGCTTGTGTAAATACAAAGATCATTTACCAATGAAATTCGTGGCCAAAATTTAGTGATTCAAAGGTTTTTTTGCTGTGCACCTTTAGAGATTGTGTGCAATGAGCTGCAATTTTTAGGTGAGATTTTTATTTCCATTTTTCCGTGCAGTTGTTTCCGTCCAGTTTTTTTACTGCCTTAAGTCGTTTGTTATGTACATATTTTGAAGTTTGTATTTACATTTTCCGTCCACTTTACACTGTGACAGAATTATGATCAGTTTTTTCATTATATCAAATTAATTGCAAGAAAATGTCTGAAAATATTTTCAGAATACTCAGAAAGTAGTTAGAATAGGCCTAATACCCTCACTCACATATACTGTATCTTGATTGGTCGAGAGTTAGTCACATGGTATTTGCTAGTTTTCGCGCTGACAAATAAATAACTGCCAACTTTGGGTAGCCTCAAGTGAGCTACTAAGATAAGTTTTAAGTCAGCAGTCTTTTTGAGCGTACACGTGGGTTTGGGTTAGATCAAGCCTGCAAACTCAAGAGCCTTATAACAGTGTTACCTGAAATGTGGACTCGTTGAAATCCGGTTTCCTTATCATGCGTCGGTCACGGTATTCATCTGTTCTGTTTGGGGAAAGGTTCAGTGCTCTACCAGCAGTGCCTTAAAAGCTCGCCCCTGTCGTAGTTCACCTCACAAAATAAAAAGAAGGCTGTGATCTGTCGTGATGTGTCGTCTTTTTTCTCCAGGTTTAATCAACAATGCGCAAGAACTATTGGTAATCAGAAAAGATCACCTGTTCGTTTTTTTTTCATTGAAGGAAATAAATTGTCTGAAATCACTGCGCTTCAAGTCAGTTGGCTTTCCTTATTGCGGCCAATAACTCAAACACAAAGTGCGAAGGTTATTGCGCTGTGGGGTGGATTTTTGTGCGAGGCAGGAAGCAGAATGGTCAACGTGAGGAAAAGTTTAAATGAAAACACTAAGAGAAGACAAAAGTGTTGGATCCCAGCCACGCTTTGAATTGGATTTTTACGTAAAATTCACTTGTAACTTGTGAACAGAGGAGAAACGTGGCGAATAGGCAAATTACAAGCATACCCAACAAAAACAGTAGGCGCTCGTTTATACAGTTCTTGGCCTCAGTGCGAAATAAAAGACAAGTGCTGCTTCCTAAACCATGTATAATCTTAGTTTGGTTCTTATTTTAATTACATTAATCTCAGATTTAGAGCGCAAAAAAAAAGAAAAAGAAAAACACCATTTGAAGGGTTTTTGCAGATCGCAAAATGTCGTTTTTCGCTCAAGTCTTCGCTCTTTGTCGGCGAAATAATTAAAAACAAAATTGGGTGGGGACTTACGGAGAACCTAAGTTTTCAGTACAGTAATGTTACCTTCTGATGTTGAAATATTAATGGCATCCATACCAAATGATCGTTATTGAAAAATGAGTGCACAAAAAGTGGTATACGAACTCTTCTGGTTTGTCCAGCGTATTGTAGTTTTTTGTATGGGGTAACTTACAGCACCACGCATGGGGCGACATGGACTCTGTTTTGTAACCGTTTTGAGAGTTTGTTTCTCAACTTTGGTCGACCTCTGTTGTGAAATCAGTGAAAACTACACAAATGATTAAAAAGCATGAATTAGCTAATCAAAAGAGAAGCTTGGGATTTTATTAGAAGCATTTGCACGAACAAATTTAGATTTTGGGAATGTCTGGCTACAACACTACTTCGATGGTTTATTTAAGTCGCAATAATATCTCAACGTATTTGGGCAAAACAAAATACGTGTATATGTAATGCTAATCGTTTTACAGTTTTCTATAATGAAGTCCATTATGCAGAGCATTATGGGCCGTTTACCCCTACAAGAGGGTCCTTTTTACCCCCATACGTGTAAAACGGACCAGTGATTTAAAATTCTAAGTTTGCTTGTTACCAAGGCAATGTTTTCTAAACCATGCAGCAAATACAGTTATGTTTAACACCCCTTTTTTTCTTGCCGGATTGTGAAGAATTTTCTGAGGGAATGTACCGATGATACACTAGAACATCGCCCATACAGTGTCATATGCATGTCGGCATCCCCCCACCCCGATTTTCAAATTTCTTTGGCCGGGTAAGTCATTCCCCAATCTTTCTCCGTCCCCAAACCTCAATCCCATTTGCGGTATAAATTTACGCCACTGATGCTGACGAAATAAAGATAGAAAAGGGAGAAATCTGTTCATAAAGATAGCTAAGTTGATCTGCCTTAATAGAGGAGGAGACGTTCTAATTGAGAGACAGCTCCAAATGTTTGCATCATCGACTATAAAACCGAGAGGGTATACTCGATTTTGGAGATAGGAAACTTCAGCCTCATAAGTAGCATTTTATTCATACTCACGATTTGGTACCATGAAAAACAGAAGAGATTAGTCATAGCATTTGAACATTTCAAGACAAACACTAATTTCTTAAATCCTTTTGAACAAGAGAGCAATTTCAGACGCAAAAATAAACAGCCCAGGATTTGTCCAGCAGCTCTTTTTAAGCGGTTTGCTGCGCATGTCGGTACCGTATACAGACGTAATCGAGGGAACAGGCTTTAAACGAGTGCCAAAGCTGTTTATGGGGTGAAGTATCCACCGACTTCAGTGTAGTAAGCCCAACTCGTTCCATCAACGACCTCATTTTTTTTTCAATAGAATGACATAATCTTGTATATTAATAAATATTTGCAGTGAACGCGTTTGGGTGATCCTATGCAGCCATTTTCGGCTAAATCTTGATTGCCTTCCTCCATGATTGTCTAAAAGTACCTTTGGCCCACGAACCAATACCTTTTGAAAACACTCGAAGATCCTTATCGAAAAGGCAACGAGTTGGTGTTGATATTATGAACAATGAAAGTTTGTTTTAAACGGACCCTTGCCCATAAAACGTGGCACATCATAAGATAATTCACCGTCCTATAGCTGGGTCTGCATTGCTGAGTCAACCGGGGCGCTTTTAGGGCTGAACTATAGATCGAGATTAATGCGCTGGCCCATTGCCGCAAATACGTTGCGAAGCCTTAATGCGTATCGGAGTTTTCACAGCCCTGTGACGGCGTTAGCAGCTTCGGTTGGGGAAAATAACTGAAATCCTGGTCTACTTTGGGCGTTGAAATAAAACACGATGAAACTGGACGAAATCATCCCACTCCTCGGCAACTTTGGCCGCTACCAGTTCGTGATGATATGCTACCTGGGTCTCTTCAATATTATCGGTTGCTTCACGTCTCTGGGCAACGTGTTCTACTCGGCTGGGACCGACCACTGGTGTAAGGTCTTGCCCAATGAGAACTGCTCCAGCTGGGTGGAGTTCCAAGACAACTGCACCGACGTGAAGAAAACCATCCTCCTTCCCCCAGCCGAGAGGAATGAAAGTCAGTACCCTCACTCCAATTGCAAGCAGTGGAACTTGCCAGTCGGCTACACGTTTAATCCGTACGTGCCGCTCGACGAAACACCGGGTTTCAACAACACCCTAGTCGACTGCACGGAAGGATGGGAGTTCGACACCTCACAGTACAAAATCACCACCATTTCAGAGGTAGGCTTAGGAAGATGTGTTTATTAAAGTTGGGCATCCTGAGCGAAGCCCCCAAGATTGGTTTAATTTCTACAAAGGTTGACGAAAAGGGACACACTTCTTGTAGTGTGGGTAGCGAAGATGCATGCAAACGTTTAGGCCTACTTCAGTGCATTTGAATAATCGACAGACACTGTCTTACTCTATGTGCCTTAAAAATCCTGGTATCATTATGAGAGACAGAAATGAGAATAATGGTGACACCTTTAAAGATTAACTAAAATCCGCAACATCACTCTACTTGCATCTGATTAAGTCTGCAGAGAGACCCTAGGGAGTGATTGTACACACACGTAAACAGGCAAATGGCTGACCAATTAACGGCTAGGAAAATTAAAGCGAGAATTTGAAAAATAGCAGGATTAATGTTGTTTGCATTTCATGGAACTTTCCCCTTACTATTTGAAGTTCGGCTTGGTGTGTGATCAAGAGAGTCTACCCAGTCTAGCACAGTCTATCTACTTTGCCGGCTTTCTTGTCGGGTCGTTTGTTGGTGGTGCATTTTCTGATTGGTAAGCTCAAACAAAGAAAATGTTTACATTCATATTCAGTTAATCCCGGTCAATTTGTCCCTGGCAATAATAAATGCCTGCGGTGGTGATGAGGAGGATCCTGATGACGTCAGTGATGAAACCAATAGCCTCGCTATAAAGTCTTGAAGAGAGAACGACAGGAGTGCAGATGACGTGAAACATTGGTTACTTTTTTAAGTGAGAGTTTGAAGGAATCATTCATATAGAAAATCCTACAAGTAAACAATGGATAAATAAAAAAATGTACATGTACTGACTGACTTATCACTGTGCACACATGTGGCCTAAGTGGGACGATTTTTTTGGGCGGGGGGTCTCCCGAGATGGCAGTCACCACATTCGGTGCAGCTGGGCCCGCTGAGTTTATAATTTTCCAAGTTTTCGAACAGTATCGAGCGAAACGTTGATCATTCATGGGATAAAGATATAGGGAATTTTCATTTAAATTAAATACCTCTGTTGCAAATGAAATTAATTGGGTGCACGTAAAACGGCCTGTAAGATTCCTAACACAGCAGTCCACCTTGAATAAGAGTTGAGTCTCTCGGTGAGGCCCTACCAAACAAGTAAAATGTAGGCAGCGTTGCTACTCTTTAAAAATTTTCTGAAGACCTTGGGAATTTAGGCAAGACCTTAGGAACTTGGTTTTTTTTTTCTAAATTTCACGAAATCTTTACATTTTTTTCCAACTTGACATGTTAGATCAATGATTGTATTAGCCTTAGTTATTCCTTCAATATTTTAGTTTCCCAAGGAACATATCTACAAATCTTATTCTGCTGTTATAAAAATAGAAGGAAGTTAATGGCGCTGCTTTTTGGTTTTGCCAATCACTGAGCGATATTGCCTGCAACCTGGGTATAATAATAATTTGTGCCAGATTACGACGGAAAATTTATCTTTGGTCCACAAGTGGTGGTCACTCGAACTTGCCCTAATTTTGTATACCTGTGCTTGCATATTCTCTGTACAAATTACGCTGAGGCGTGCCACGTTTCTGATCAAATGGATTGATTCCACCATCATTGGTACTATATTGGGGATCTTGGAAAAGTCCAGGTAATTTTACTGCCGTCATCTTGGGATTTTCAAATTCGATGAGTGGCTGCATATGGCGGTACGTGGGCTCAAATGGCGTCCAACTCTCGATCTCCGCTCGGGTGCACTCCAGTTGGTATTACTAGAAATCAGTGGGAAGAAAAGACAGCTCGCCAGCGGGCTTTGGCTGGGGCCGAATAGTTAGCTAATGGGTGTCTGTTGAAGTTTTCAATCCAAACAAACAAAACATTAAAGACATAAAGAAAAACCACTTTCTTTCCTTTTCCTAAGGATTGGTCGCAAGAAGGTCGTAATCATTGGCCAGTTATTATGGGTGACTTGCCTTGTAGCTACAACGTTTTCTGTTAACATCTACATGTACATGGCGCTACGATTCATTACTGGGTTCGGGAATTTAGCTGCTTACGTGAGCTTATACGTACTAGGTAAGAAATTGCTTCATTGCGGCTACTTGATCTTCTCAACACACCCAATTCAGTGTCGTATAATGTTGCCATTGTTTTATGGAATTGAATGAACCAGCACACCCAATTCAGTGTCGTATAATGTTGCCATTGTTTTATGGAATTGAATGAACCAGCACTCGAGAAAAGATGCTACCCCCTTTCAGGGGGTGAACTTTCTTCAACGGAAAATAATTTGGCAGTCGTTGGGGATCCATCCCCCTCCCCTGACACAAGATCTGGACATACTACCAGTCAAATTTTACTCCTTCAGTTGTTAACGTACAGCTGGGTTGTCCAACTGCGTAGAAGCCCCTTCTCTGAAACAATAACGAACGGTTTTGATTACAGCTGGTTCTATAATAGAGGTTTTATATTCCATGTCGTGCAAATTACTTTACCATCCTGAATTTGTTCATTCCCTAGATTAAAGGTTACCTTTGCCTACATGTACTTGTGCATTTTTAGTAACATACATGTATATAGCTGTTCTTCCCCAAGTAAGCTACTGTGCATCTTGATGTGCCAGTCTAGGTTTGTACATACACAGCTTGGGAAAACGATCTTTCCAGACATTCTTAATATTGCAACCATGGATATAATTTCTATCCATTCCAATTAATCTCTTTCAGTTTTGGAAGTTGTGGGCAAGTCATGGCGAACGGCGGTGACCATGATCGTCGGCATGCTATACGCAGTCGGGTACTTTTTCATTGCAACTGCGGCCATGTATCTCAGGGAATGGCGCTCTCTGTCGCTGACTCTCTCTGTCACATCAGTGACTTTGTTCGTGCCAATGATGTAAGTTTTGATTATACGGTAATAGTAATAGGTTGTGCCCGAATTACTTGGCTGAGGCTACAATTTACACACGAGTCTAGTCTATGATAGTGGGACTGAGTCGTGTGTAATTTCAAGCCGCAGCCAAGTGATTCGGACGTAGCTTAATAGGCCTATGTGCTTGGCTGGTCTTAAATGAGAATGGAGGCGACTAATGCCCAACCCGCAGGGAGGGCATTATCAGGGTTCTGTCTCCTCAGCCGTTCTTAAACGTTAGTTTAAGACCGGCCAAGCACAAATGTATTCCCATTTATAAACACTTGTTTTAGTCAGAGTCAAAAGAAGGCAATATGCGATGGATTACCAACGATTTTGTGACAGAATTTTACTTTAATTTTCCCAAACGTCCCGTTCATTTCATGGCATATTCCTCGTGCAAGTTGTCCAATTTCCTCATATGGACTTGGTGCGCGCCCGTCGAACAACGTGCACACAAACTCTTGACCAATCAGAATCGATTAAACGGTCTCGTATTCAGGTGCCAGCTCGTGATTTACGCAGCGGGCATTACCTTCTCAGAGGGCATTATCAAATGCTAATACACGGTCAAATTGTATGTTGTTGAATAGAGAGACTGACTGAGGTGTTTAGGAATTTGCTTTTATTAACTTAAGCAATTGAAATTTAAGTGAATGATAGACAAGAACGGAGCGAAAAAAGAATTCAATAGATTACTACAAGAAGAAGATAATTACATAAAACGGAGCCAATACGCGTAAAAAGACCCAACATGTCCAAAAGAAATTGTTGTGCATTTAAACGTATAACACAAAAGCTACGATGACTGTTGTATTCTTATAAAACATTTTTTATAAAGACGACTTAAAATCAAAGCTATGTTTGCTCCTCGCGCGTTATCAAATCACTGTTTCTCTGTGTAGATTCCTACAAGAGTCGATTAGATGGTTGGTTTCTAAGGGCAGGATCGATGAGGCCGAAGCAGTCGTTCGGAGGGTGGCCAGATTCAACAAGAGGACTTTGCCGGATGTGCTATTCGATAAAGAGGACATCGCGAAAGAAATGGTATGGGATGTTTCAATAATTAAATCGAGAGTACTGAGTGGCTAGGTTCGGATCGAGGGGGGCAATTAGCCGTTGAGGCGTTTGCAGTGATTTTGTATTTCCCTTTCTTACAGTCTGATGCAATTCATTTTCTATTTTCTTTTAAAGGAAACAAAGAAGTCATTGATCCCTCCCTCAGCCATTGATCTGTATAAAACGCCCAACATGGCCGTCAAGACGCTTAATATGCAGTATAACTGGTGAGTAAAAGAGACCAGTCAATGTTGTACGAGTCACTGGTTAAAAAGGTTCCTTTTTCCTGCTCCATAGGGACACATAAAGTTTCTCCAACTGATAAGTTTTCGAGACAGCTTGAAACTCAGTCAGTTTCAACTTTGAAGATGATGTTTTCTTTTGACATTTAGGGGTTTTTTGGACCAAATTCTTAGGATTTTTGGGAAGAGGAAGGAAAGTTGAACTGAATCTGTGTAATTTTGGAAACTGTTGGGCAATTTCAGTGGGATAAATTGCCTTATTTCTGTCTTGTTCGCGTACTAGCGTCAGAGTTGACCATCTATTGGAAAGACTTCGCCAGAGTTTGATCATATGGTGGATACTTTGACCAATTGTGTTGGGCAATGATTAAATTCATGTTGTGCGAGCCCGGTGCTGTTTCAGGAATAATTCCTATGAATTGGTCAATATAAATGTGGAAAGTTTTTTATACAATTCTTGCTGCAGGTTTGTCAACAGTTTGGTGTACTTCGGGCTGTCACAGAGCACTGGCGATCTCGGCGTGGACGACTACTGGGCCTTCTTCGTGTCTGGAGCCGTGGAAATCCCGGCCCTGGTCTACGCCACCTTCGGCGTGGAATGGATTGGTCGCAAATGGAACACGGGGGTGCTGGAGTTGATCGGCGGCGCAGCCTGCTTGGCAACTATCTTCATCCGTAAAATACAATTGATATATTTCCGAGGGTCCAACGCGAGTATCCGAATCCTCCTCGATTCTGTCGTGAACTATACACAGTTTTATTACAGAATGTTTGTACTTGTAGTCTTTGAAAGGGTGGGAACCGGTCCTTCCTTGCGTTCCCTTGTCTGAGGGCGCATACTATACCCAGCCAACACTGGAGTCATGGCCCAAAGGTGGCCCAGATATGGCAGGATCAGGCGGAAACGGTTGGCCCAAGCCGGCTTGCCACAGCTGGCCCAACTCTTGCCAGGGCCGACTGCTGCCGGGACTGAGCCAGGTCAGTTATTGCTCACCCGGGCTGGATCTCGGCCAGATGTGAAATGTCAGTGGTGGCCCAGAGCTGGCAGCTGGTTGGCCCAGAGCTGGTTCATTTCATTTCAGCTCGGCTAATATGCCACTATTTGCTGTGTTCACGTTTGTTACTTACGAGTACTGACGATATGACGAGGCAACAGAATTTCCCAATGTTTGGCCCTCTAACATTCCTTGCAGAACTCTATGTCCACCCAATTCAAACACTAATTCACTACCCATTGAGTGCCGTTCAGTAATTTGGTTTGCTCGGACACTTCAATATCCCAAATCGTGAAAGAAAGACCATTTGAGACCTAAAATAATGTTGACTCTATGAAATGACAACTTAAACGTGGTCCAATATTAAGTGATGATTTCTCCTTTTCATGGTCATGTAGTTCCATTTGGTAAAGGACAAGGATGTTGTCTCACTGGATGTCTCAGCTGCTGACGACTTATCTCACCAATTTTCTGTCCCCCATGCAGCCGTTGGTATTTGGAGGACCGTCGTGTCCATGATTGGGAAGTTCTGTATCTCCGCCACATTCAGCATCATATATCTCTACTCGACAGAACTGTTTCCCACACCCGTTCGGTAAATACTCCTTAAGCCTGTGGTTTCCATAAGGTTGTAACAACCGTCGACACGACACAAGATGTCAAAATGAACGGAGAGTCGTTGACAGAATGGCGTCATTCGACAGAAGGTTAAGTGAAACAAAATGGCTTGCGGAACTCCAAAAATGTTCATAGGAATTTTTTTTTTGGTAGTGATATGGAACGCCGTTGCTATCTGTGTTAGTATCTATCGTCGGCTTCGTTAATTTCACCACTTTGTCGGACAGTTTCGCCGTTCCATTCAATGATTTCAGCATTCCATTCACCAATTTCATCATTCCTGTTGATTTGGTAATTTCACAGCCCAGAAGTGCGATTTTGCTATTGATCAAGCAGTCAATTAATTCCCCAACGGCACAAGTACATTTCGTAAAATTAAGAACCACAGAATTAAAAATGGTCCCCTAAGTGTGTATTACCGGAGACTTTTCGTTCATGGTATCTGCATCTCTGATTCACAAGTTAAATCCCCTCTTGGCCTTTTTATTCACGATATAATTTGTCATACAAGTACCCGTAAATATACTTCATCCAACAGGGCTGTTGGACTGGGGCTGTGTTCCGTCGCAGCTCGAGTCGGCGGGATTCTCTCTCCTATCATCCTGCTCCTGAGGAACCTCGTGTCCGATCTGCCGCTCATCATTTTCGGCTCCTGTGCCCTTGTGGCAGGGATTTTGGCGCTCTTCTTGCCGGAAACGCGTGGCCAGCCGCTGCCTCAGACGCTGAAAGAAGGCGAAGAAATTGGAAGGTGGGTGGTTTGTTGCTGTTGCTCGAATCGTTTTCACTAATTCATGGGATAGGATCACGCGCAGCAAAGAAAAAAAACTGATGATCCTGGAGGGGATTCCCGAAATGTTCTATTTCTGTAAGCTTTATAAGGTGATTTTTATAAACAATGGAGCTGTTTTCCAAATCTTCATTTCAACTTGTGAATGGTTGATGACCACATTTTCAGTGCCGAGTAAGGTCAAAGCTGGTAAATGTTCAGTTGGTACATTTCTCTCCATTGGCTTGTCAATAATGAATAGACTGATCGCGCCCATAAGGTCACGTGACCCATAGTGGGTTAAAAAAAACCCCAAAATATGGCGTCCTCCTTTAGCAAAATAAAGCTGACGGTCGGTACAGTACAGTACTAGGCTACACCAAAACTCAGATTTAGCTTCAGTAAATATCACTTAAGAATACTTTGGTATTGGAAGACACCATGTTTATCGATGTTTGATAACCACCATAGGTCGCGTGACTTAGCAGGCGCAATCGGTCTATTGATGACTTAATTTAACCCACAATATATTGTTTATGTAGAAGAAAATAGTGCGTTTAAGTTGCCGTCAAGTTTCGGAGGACAGTTTATTTTGTTTCGATTGTTTACAAAATTAGTTCAGAGGTCTGTTGACTTTGTGATACAGATGTCGCTGCATGGGTGACAACGCCTACGGAGAGTCCAGCATTGAACTTGACGATATGGATGTCAACGGAGAGGGCGTCTTTGCGATTTCCAACGCAGCTTTTGATCACGGAGAGAAGAAATATCGCGACTTCTCACAGCAATTCTCCAAAGGAATGCATGAGAGTTCGCATATGTAACGGAAGAATTTTTCACCCGTCACTATAGCCAGGGAAAAAAAGAAAAGAAAAGAAACGAAAGAAAAAAAACCCACCAAACTTTTTTTTTCATTCGCTGACGTACCGGTACCGTATTACGGTAACGAGCTAGGGGTTTGTATGATACCGTTCTATGGTGGTTGCAGTAAAGGACTACACACAACAGTAACCTTTTCATTAATTCATATTCTTTATGTGACTGAGAAGGATGTGTAGGTGTGTATGTGTACATAACCTATAAGAACTTTAGAGCTTTGGACTATAGAAGCCAGCTGAAGTAAGTGTCCTTGTATCTAGTCATTTGTAGTAAAATATTTTGTCAATGTCTTTATGATTGGTAACCGAGTTATTCGGATTTGTTTGTATTTTTTTATATTGTTTAAACACGGCGGCAGTTTATTACAAAATTAGGTAGCTTGTACATATACCACGTTTCCTATTTCACAAGGGGTGACTTTCAGGCAAAACCATTGGAACATGCATATACAGACTGCTGCAGGATCAAAATTTGACCAGGGAAAGGGAGTTACGGAAATTGACGCCTGAAAGTAGGTGATCAGTAGTTCTCTTTTCTGTGAATTGCTAAAGAACCTTGGGTTGGAGATAAAAACAGAGAGACGTGGTGTCAAAATTTGTAGAAATTACGCTAATAATGTAGGCATTAAAACGCCTGTAAATTAGACTCCCTCTAAGCGGGATCAAAGTATTCCACTTTCCTCTACATTAATGCAATATGCATTTTATTTACGACGTTCAGTCCATGTCCTTACGAGTACCACATAAATCATCGTCTCAAGACGAGTCACCAGCCGTTTGAGCAAACGGTGTCGATATTTTTCCTTTCATTTTTCAAGCATAGCGGCCCAATAGGGAGTTTAAAAAGCTGTGTATGCTTCATTTGTACCTGTAACATTTTCATTTGAGTATCTATTGGTTGGGGCAGGGGGAAAGTGCCCCCTCCCCTGACAGAAAACCTGAAAGAAAACTTCATAGGTGAGTATCAAATATTAGCATCAAAACCCCAAAGAAGTAGCGCCACAAAATAAAAGCACGGATGTCGGGTCCGTGAGTAAGAGGCTTTTGATATTTTCTCTCCCCAACTACACGTTGAATGAGCTTGAAGCCACATTTGCTTTAGAATTTGACTGCCCCTCTCCCACACACACACACCAAAAGCTGGATACGCCACCGGACATTGGTAAATATTAATCGGTGAAATAAATACAGAAGAAATATATGGCTTATTTCTAAGAACCGCCATGTATGATAAACTACACTTTAGAAGGTCCAGGCAATGTTATGTTTTCACTGCAAGCCTTAAAAATACACCTTCGTGTTTTGATTGACCATATACTTTCAGTTATTTTTACTAAAAGGGATTTTGGTGCCCTTTTGTTTTCTACGCTATAATGCACATATTGGCATAATATTGAGCATGTGGCACCAATTTGTGCTGTTAAAAGTTTTTCACATTTTGATGACCCACATTTTCCTTGGTGGTTTATTATTGTTGAAGAAATCAACAAGCAACCCTTTCCCAAAGTTTTTAAAAACAGATTTCGGGGTTCAAATTAAATGGCTAAGCGTTATCCTTTCAAAACTCTTCACATGTTTTGTAGTCAAACTGACAGCAAAAAGTGTTTGGAAAAAAAGAGTTTGATGGTTAAATAAAGTTTAACCGCAGTGCTGATCAAAGTTTTCAATGCATATAGACTGACGAACAGCTTTAGCCCATTTAAATTAGGGTAGGACGTATAACTTCCAAACGAGAATATAGTCTAGAAATGTTTGGTAAATGGAACTTGACATAGGCGTTGATTTCCAAATGGTTGAAAACGAAGAGAGTTGTTGAACAAAGAAATGAAGAATTCATCATAAACAAATACACCTGTTTGGCCACAAAAGGACAGCTGTAAACATTCCCTAAATTTCTCACATCTTCCCGCCAGAAAACTGTAAACATTTGCCTTGAGAAGTATCCGGGGAAAAGTACACAAAGTTGTTTCGAGAGTCATGCCCTAGAAAATACCTTTTAGACCTCAAAAGTCATCCGTACAAAACCCTTCTTACGACCAAATTTACCAGACAAGTCAAGCCCTGCGTTAAAAAAAAAGAGATCAAACAGCCGTCGAACAAAATTGTCTTGAATGGACAGAGCTAATGATAATTTTTATTGTTCATTGTGTATGATAACTTATCAGTCATGCTGACTTCGTGCTGGGTCGATGCCGCTGCAACGCTACCGCGGCTTCCGTAAGCATGAGATGCGTCTTGTTCCCAACCTACCGACCTAGCAGGGTGCACTGCACTAATTAAAGCCCCCACTGATACAGTGTAAAATCAACAAAGCTCTGCTAACATGCAAGCCGACATTACTGGAGTTTGTCAAACAAAATAATCTTTCCATTTCTTCTCAATTTTTGGTGGTTGGCCAATAACATTTTAAATATTGCCCTCCCCCCAAGAAAAGAAAACAAATTCACCCAATTAGTGATAGTTCCGAATCCCATGCCTGCGTGCAGCCAGTTTTCAAATGATATCCCTCCAATGTCTTGGGCACAAGGGACCAATTTTTCAAGCGTAATTTTGTCAACTCTTCCCTCAGATAGAAGCCCCCAAACTTGGGGTGTTAATTGATCCTGGCCTAGGCCTATTTACACATTGCCACCATCGTTTTCGGCCAAACAATCTCCTTTTCAGAGGAGCTGCAGGGCACTTTTCTTGCTCGGGACAATTCTGCTTCTCCAGTCGAATATTCCTAGAAAGAGTGGACAACGGTCTGCTAAGAGTGTAAACGGGTGCACTAAACTAATTCAAGCTCCATTGAAAAAAAGTGTAAATTCAAAAAGTTTGGATCCCCATGGCAGGTAACTAAAGTCCTTGAGGTCTCTCCAACAGAAAGCAATGTATTGTTTGGTCCTTTAGAATTTCATTTGATTTTTAATTTTTGGTAGGTTAACCAATGAATTTCTTTTAATTATCCGCCCAAAACAAACTCACTTTCATAAAAGTGAATGTTTCCAAGTCTTCTCAGCAGCCATTTTTCAAATGGCATTCCTCACCTTTCGGAGGCTGATCTTCTGACAAATTGTCAATCAATCACATTTTTGTCTTCTTTGCCCCCAGATGGGTGCCCCTGAATCTACAGAGATGATCCTGGGTCATACTTACACAATTCTACAATTTCCTGGCCCACACAGACCCCTCTTTTCGAAAGAATCTGTAGGGGTCCTTTTTAGCGCCTCCGCCTGGCGGAGAATTTTCCTTAAATTAGGACACTGCACCCAAATAGGCTGTGGACTAAATATGCTCTTCGACAGCGCCCCAAATACGTAATGTACGTTGAAGCTGTGGTGAACGGCAGCTAACTTTCTTAACACAAGAAGCTGGGTAAACCCGACCCCAATCAAGGCTATAACTCGGGAGGATTTTTTTTTACAGCGGGAAGGCCCACATTTCAACAGGGAAGCTCCCAAGAGGCATGAAGACTAGCTCTCAAGAACCATTTTTCCCAAGGAAAGTACACTGTGTATCCCAAGGCAGTTGCGTAATAAAAAACAATAGTAATAAAAATTTACGTCAGTATTACTTACTAAGAAATTCTGTTTGGCATTTCATATCAAACAATATAGGCCAACAACACAAAGTTACATATAAATATCACAGCATAAACGAGAAAGAAATGTGTAAATATATTTTAAAGATACACTGTAACGATAAAATACAACCCACAGATTGCTACTAGGGTTTTGGGTAATAAAAAGAGAGATTTTTTGTGGTGACAGGTCCGATGACATCGCCGTTGGCGTTCCGTATGTTAATTTAAAGAAATGTGTGGATGCTGCTGCAGGTACAAGACTTGCATAACACATTGCTTTATTTCTTCACTTTAATACGATTAATTTCATCTGACGGGTTCGTTTCATTTTATGCAACATCAGAAACTTATAAAGGTTTGCAACAGTAATTGGTAACAAAGTTATTAGTGATCAGCTGTTGGTAACAACAGCTGATCACTACTGAATAACTTGAACGCTCGCTCATGAACCACCCTGTCCAATTTTGACTAGTTCAGACAGGTCCAAAAACACAAAACAGATTATACATGTAACAGTCACAAGAGAAGGAAATTCAAAGTTTCACTTTGATTTACACAACATTTATCAAAAAGCAACATCTTCTAACATTTGTCAAAATACAACTGATTATCATTCTTAATTAAAAAATATTGTACCTGGCAACTCTCTCAAGTGATTCGCTTTTGATCTCGACAGATGGTACATATACAGACGATTGTTTGTAGCATAATGGTTCGTGTAAGGTAAAATATAAGAGTGGGAGGGTACACGAGGCAAAACTAGATCGTTCAATATCAATATCATGCGCAACGATAATGTCTTTTCTATTGGAAACACTGGTAGCAATGTCCCTAAAGTATTTTATAACACGCCATTAAAACAGCAAGCTGACTGTTCGTGCGCTGGCCAGTGACATCATTCAGACAAGTCCATTCATGCCAGCCTGTACACGTACGTCGCGTATAACATCAAACAGCCGTTAAATACAATTTTTTATGAATGGAAAAGCCGGGGGAAAAAGATGTATTAGTTCTGTTTGGTTTATGGTGTATATCACGTGGACTGGATGTAGTGACGTATCATTCGCAATGGCTGCGTGTCGGGTCATGATTTTTACACGCCCACTCATCTAGTCTAGTTCCGAGCCTACCGACCTCGCCGCGGTCCGCAATTCAGTGTCTGTAGTGTCATATTCAACGGCACTGAGATCCGACTGTTTCCAGTGTATAAATTCTAAGGTGGGAACCTGGAACGACAAAGCGCTGGGGATCTGGGTAGATTTGGGCTACACATATCTGGTCGGTCAGGAAGCCTCAAAGCCCCTTAGAGTAAGTCAGAGGTTCAAAACTATCCCCTACACAAGGGGTAGAACAAGTGCGGAATTCGGCGTTCGAGCTGCAGAAACCGTCAAGGCAGTACTAGGAAGTGAGGTAACGTGGACATGCTTTTGTTGCAACGTTTATAAGTCAACATGCACCGGGCCTGCGACCTTGGCTTTATCTGCTTTGAGCATTTGCCTTTCTGGAAATATGTTGGAAAATATGTTCCCTTAGATTAATGTGGAGGCGACGGCAACGTGCGTTGCACGTTTAAAATAACATTGTTGTCACGAGATATAGTTATAGGTCAGTAAAATAAGGTCAGCGTAGCTGGATAGTTAGCAGTTGTCTCTGTTATCCAACGATCGAGTTGCACCGGTTGCAATGTAGTTGGAACAGTCCAGTGTTTGTGATTTTTTGTTCGTTTTGCATGCCCATTGAATGCAGAATGTGCTGTGCTGTTTTCAACCGATTTGTAGCGTTGCCCGTAACACAGTTTATTTTGATTTTTAGCCTCTTGGGCCTTGCTTGAGAGCCTGGTTTTCACCTCAGATTCAACAATAAGTGAAATTTCATCAAACTCACAAAAATCGCAAGTGTGTGTATTAATCGCTACAAAGTTCAAATGAAATTCTGTTTTGGCGTAATTTTCCGAATTTTTTCCCGAGGTGCACAATGAACTCTTTCAAAATGCACGGAAAGTAAGAAAATGTTTTCTTACAAACTTGTAGTTGTGAGTGGAGGTAATTATTAGCTATCAGAATCTAGCAACTTCAGAGATATTCTTATATATTTATTTAGAATTTCCTGAGACCTGTTCCAGTGCGCCACTTTAGGGAACACGCAGCTGAATGGCACTTTCGGCAGGAAGCAACCTTTTGTTTTCGGACTAAGTTTCAGACACTGAAATTGTTCACATAAGTTCAACAGAGCGTATTATGAAGGGAATAACCGGTATTCAACTGAATGATTTTTTTTTATTAAAGAGGTTTGGCAGGGGAGCACAATTTTGAAGACCCACGGGATATACTGGAACGCTTAACAAGTCCTCTCTGAAATTGTCCAAGAATTAAACAGTGCTTGTTTCCCACAGGTTTAAAGGGAAGCTGCAATGGATTTCTTGCCATGGAAACCTCCAAAATGCACCTTTGTTCCAGTTACCGTCACGCTGAATCATTTTGTTTCACTATTCAAAGCGTGTGTTCCTGCCTGGTTGGTTCTATACCGATGGGTTTGACCATATTCATGAGCAGAATTATGATGTCATCCCAGGAAGAAACTCTCAATGTTACATTTTTTTGTGCACAAAAACTTGATTTTTGAATAGATTTTGCTGGCTTAAATTTTCTTCTCCTTGGTGATAAATTGTTGTCTAAGTACACAGCAGTGAGCAAGAAATCAACCCTTTCTCAGAAATGTTTTGATGAGTGAATTCAGGGTTAACAATTTTGAAGAGAATATACACTGAGCCATGTCTTCCCTGAATGAAATCACAGCAACAGCGCCCTCAGTTGTCTGGGAAGGCATGGCTAATTTTAAATGGTTGAAAAAGTACACCTTTTTAATGCATTTAACCAAATAGGGATGTCAAATTATTTTTTATTGACTGAGCGAGAGTGTACGGTTGCAAGGAAGCCGTTACGTGTCTGAAAAAAAACTTCATTGCAGCAGCACTAAGTTGTTCATTCCACATAATCATTTTCATCCAGACAATACGAATTCATTAGCCTCAAAAGAATTTTGAAAAAGGCAGTCTTTCGTAATAGAAAGAATTTTTCAAACTGTCGTGTATCAAGTCCATGTACGTATTCAATTCATATGTGAAGTCTGTTATTCTGGATCATATCGTGCCAACAAACTTTCAGAGTTCAACGTTTCTCCTGGCTTGAAGGATATTAACCCTTCCGTCAGGGCGCGCGTGGTACACCGGATGCTGGTAATACAAAATAATAAGCATTTATTTATTTGAGTTGTTGGAATCATGCATTCACACTCTGCTATAACGCTGGGAACATGACCTTTGTATGATAGCACACTGGCCTTGAAGCATCGTGTGAGCAGTCACCAAAAAAAAATCGCGCGCTTTATTACAGGGCCCGGCACCCAAACAGAGAGAAATGTAACGAAAAACATAATCCTTCTTCACGGGACTGTGAAGGCGCTTGTAGCTGAGCTGAAATGACAAGAAGAATGTATGCAGTCACACCATGGCCGTTGCCAGGATTTTTTCCGAGGGGGGGGACATTTTCCCCGTTGGGTGGAAAATTTATGAGAATTGATTTTTGATTAACCCATTAAAGGGTGGAGGGCCGATATTTTTAAAGCAAATCCGTGACTTTTCATCCCATTTCCTCTCTTTTTTCTACTTGTTTCGTTTTTTCCAACTTTTTTTTTAATGTTCCCCCATTTTTTTCAAAGGGGGGCAAGTGCCCCCTCTTGCCCTCCCCTCGCGACACCCCTGAGTCACAAAGTCACTCATACATATAGCAATCAGAGGGGGGAAGGATGACTCTTTGTGCATTTTACAATGATCTTTGCTAATAATGAGTTATAGGCTTATCTTTTACAGATTCATTTTGATTCCAAACAACCAAAAATCAAGTTAATTTGCTAAACAGATCAAGTTCACAATCATTACCTCTTCGTGATGTTAATGTTCACGTGTCTCTGCATGAAATGACCGTATGGGTTAGTAGGGCACGGGGATATGCGTACATCCTCAGAGAAATAATCACGAATCCACCGTGATTCATTTTTGTAAGGACTTATACAGTGCTTCATTACGCAAGACCCTCGAAGACGCCCACAGCCAATGACTACCTTTCCATCTTCATTCAACTTGACCCACGTCTGGGACTACGGAACATATAATCCGTTCCTATTCCAACCGATTCCTGACGACTACCACGGGCCGCACGGGGTGTATTTTGATTTTCTTTTTTAAGTGTAAAAGCTCAATCGTTGAGATTTTCACTTTGTTCTTATGTTGTTGAAACATGGTTATTGTAACCTCATCAAAAGGATGGTAGAGTTTTCTTGTATACATTGGTTGCGTCCAGAAGTCAGTGAGGTATATCAAAGCAAACAGTAGCATTATAATAATTGTGTCGAGGATCATAGGGGTAGACGCGTCGTCCAACGTCACGTGGTCCACAAAGCAAAGAGTGAATCCAAGAACTATGTAGTGAGCTGTGCATGCAGCCTCGTGCAAAAACGAAACCAAATGCACCAGTCGTTAAAGTGCAACTGTAATTCTGCCATGAACCATTTTACCAAAGTTCAAGTTCGCTCGATGAAGCATCAGCAGGCCTTTAGGAATAATAATTGTTGCGGGGCGTCAAAAATATATGAAATGATCAAACACATGCATCGTGCATAAAGAACCGTTGCCTCGAACTTAGTCATTTTGTGCGGTACTGGTCATTTCGATCAGTTTTCATATGACCATTCAGTTCAGATGAGTATGCGACATGTTTGTGTCTTTGAACGCACGACTTGCTTGTATTATATCCAAACGGCGTCCGAATCTTACTCGCAAAGAATATAACCAGAAGGCAGTAATTTACAGTTGCAGTAGTTCATTAAACAAAATATAGTTGGAGGGGAGCTAAATTATCCAACACTTACATTTCATTAATCGAGCCCAAACAGTGCAGAGTTGTCCGCTGGTAACATGCCTAAAAAATAAAAGGAACCTTACACAGCCAACGCCCAGTCTCAAATCCACACTGGGCTAAACTGCAAGAGGGTTTCAAAGGAAAGTAACAAGTCAGTTCAACAAAGGAAGTCCCAGTTACACACTAAAAACAATGGCTAATCTTATGTGGCATTCCATTGTGTGGCTACAACCAGGGGCCCATGACCGCGGCCAGGCAATGGTATGTAAGACATTTAATGAGGGCTGCTGTGGCTGGCACAAAAATAACTTTGATTGTTCAATATTCATTTCAGCTTCAGGCGTTTGATTCACAAGAAACAGCCACGGCAAGCGGGGTTGCCATTCGGAGGGAGAAGCTTTGGAGAGGATTAAGAGAGAGTCATTGGCTTCAAATGCAAAGATATCACAAATAGTTTTCAGTTGCCAAACAGCTTAGAAAATCAAATATATCGAATCAAATCAAATAATTTTGTAATAAATAAATTTTACACAAGCATGTGCACTTGTAGGAAGGCAAGAAACTTGAACAGTCCAAAAGTTAGAGTTAAATAACGCACCAACCATGGTCGTCATTTTCTGCTGATTCTGTTTAAATGCATGGTATGTTTTGTTCAGGTTTTTAAAACTATTTTCTTTGATGAGTGTAAGAATAACCTTTATGCCGATCGAAAACTTTGTTTTTGGTTAGTTGGCTCCTTAATAAAATTCTTCTTGTCAGGTGTGCGAGCGAAGAGGGCGTGGTTGGGGAATAATCGCGCACATAATTATGGGAGTTGTTTGTGGAGAGTTCTGAAAATAGGAAAATTGTGAGGTTGACGGGGAGATAAACCAAATCTGATTTTCTGAAAATCAGAAAACAACAGCGACCGAAGCATTCGTGCAAGAGACAGATATTGACTATTGATAATTACAAACAAAATATGTGGACTTTGTATTATGACGATACAATGAACAACAGTACACAAACTAAGGGCTTGCTTCCGCAAACGTGTTAAGGGTCCACGTCCTTCAGCGTGAAGGTATAAGATGGAATTTGGTATCATACTAATTATGGATTGCCAGGCAAAAGCTTTATATATAAAATGCATGCATTTCACACAGAGTGCGGGTGTCTATGATCCGACACTGCTGTTGCTTTTGTGGTATATTCAAACGGTTAAAGGTTGCCCTATTTTTGAGAGTTAAGTTACCGTGTATGGTCAAACTCAAGCAACTTAAAACGGAGAACGGCTACAGAGACGATCGGTGATCGGTAAATGTTTCGCGTTTTTACACAGGCTCGGAAACACCTAACTACCTCACTTCCTTGAGAAGCAGTCTGGGGAAAGATGGGCAGACTGTCGTCACCAGCTTCACGTCAAGGTAAATTGATCGACACAAACAGGAAAACTGAAAGCAAAACTTGGCATGTCTCATGTGTAATGGACATTGAGGATTTTGGGGGTGGGTGGGTGGGAAGGAATTACATCAACGGATGTACGCTGTTGTTGCTTATTGCTGTCGTAATAATTGTAATTATCAATGGTGCTGCTACTGTCGATGATACGCTGCAGGAGCCTGCTGTTGCTGCTGAGGTTGCCATTGTTTTCTCGCGTTTCATTCACTACTTGTTTGTTTTCAAAATCTCGAATTTCTCTTTTCAGGCAGGAAAAGTGGCAACGATGGCGATAGAAGGGATAAATCTCGCAAGGCTGTCAAACGGTCTTCAACGGGGGAGCCCAAACAATCTATTAGTAGAAACAGCCCCCCAAAGAAAGCGAGGACCTCACCGAAGGCAGCGAAGCCCTCCAAGACTAGCTCCCCCTCCAAAAAGAGCAAAACTCCGGCACGTGTGGTTGCCAGTAAGCTGAAAGGGCGGGCTAAGGCCAGTTCCACTAAGAAGAAACCTAATCAAGGTACTAGACAATATAGCCAGTGCAGCTCCTAAAGGGGGATGGGGCATCTCCAGGCCGATTTTCCAGTTTTTTCTTCTAATTTTATGAACATGCTGAATTCAAAGCATACGATGTGTATATACAAACCCAGGCCTACTCTAATTTAACCTGCCTTATAGTCATGTTATGGCATCATATTTGCACATTATGGCAAATAAAATGTACATTGATGACATCATCGATAAAAGGACTCTCATGGAAAGTATTCAGGTATGAGAATCCTCCTTGGATGCGCAGATGTTGGATTTCTGGGGAAGAAAATTTGTAAACTTAGCCATGTATGCGACATCGATGTAACATTTTTAGGGTGTATTGTAGTCGCTCCATCTGGGACGAAAGGTCAGCCTTTTGTTTCACATAACTCCAAATACTGCAGAGCTTAACTCTATTTTACTTTGTTGTTCGTATTATTGTGTGGGGCTTGACCAGCAAAAGTGGTCGACGCCGGCGCAACATGATCTTCGCCATCCTTGCGTGCACGGGCGTGTCTTGAGGGCGAAACTCTCCCCTACATGGTACTTTGCACAATGCGGTACTTCCTGGGAGGAAGTTAGTTGTCAACCAGTTAGCCACGTGCTTTGGCATCAACGGCAGGTCTATAATACAGTGTATGATTATGCGGACTTTGACGGACACAGTGATGGTTATACCACTGCTCAGGCCTTTAGTGGACAGAAAGCCCTTGAAAATGCCGAAGAACTGTCAATCTTTTCAACCCATGTCTTTGTCAAATTATGTGCGAGGTGTGAATACTGGATATTTCTGTACATTATACCACGCAGGGGAAGTATTACTTGTCGAAGCCTTCAATTGTTGTATGCACGTGACCTGCTCCACAATTAACCAATCTGAGGAGTTTCTATCATTGACTTTTATCGTCAACGGTTACATTTTTAGAGCATTGCCCCGTGTGCCCTTTTGTTCTTTTCCGTTGTTTTTTTTGTCACTGTACCCTGTAGTAGTTGAAACGGCGTGATTATTAGAATTATCGGAAAGAATCCCTTATACGGACGCAGCTTGACACCCTGTGCATAAACCCTGGCTATGAGAATGGTCCAGAAAAATTTCAAGTGTTGTATAAGTGAATACCTCAATATTGTCCCTGCTATATTTTACTTCATAGGACATATAGTATTATTGCTTTCAGATGGCCAGTAGGTGACTGCAGGGAAAAATTGGTGCTGCCCGTTACAGAATTCTTTCTGAATTAAAGTATAAGTAGAAAGACCTTTCTAGTTGCTCGAAGAAATTGGCCAGTAACAGCAATCCGCGATTTAAGCAAAAGTTACAGTAATTATGACGGGGTGGGATTTCTAAGGAATTTTCTTGATTTCATTTTTTTTTTCGTCAGAATCTTTTTTGGAATCCATAAAATCCTGAGTTCACTATGAAGAGGATTTTGCCTATATAAAAGTTGATATACAGAGTGTATAAAAAAGGAAAGCCAACTTTAAATAGCGTTTGTTCTCAACTTTGAGATGATACCAAGTTTTACACCAGAAAGTGTAAAGCTTTGCCACAGTAACCATTTAAAGTTGGGATTCCTTTTTTATACACCGTGTCGAACAATTTGCCTCAAGGCAAACATATGTGTACTAGAGACCCTACGCTGTTATGGGGCGCTCGGAACCTGTGGTGATTATATTGTGGATATTTCATTTTCCTTCAACCTCACCGCTGGCATTTATGCATTGTGTGTGCTGTCTTTTTCCTTCACGTCGGCGTTTTAGTTAAACGCCCGCAACGACCTGCCCGAAAAACTCCCAGTCGAGGCAAAAGGGAGACAGTGAAGAAGACCAAGAAAGTGACAAGTGCCAAGGGAGCTACCAAGAAGGGGAAGACAGTGGCCAAGGCAAAAGGAGCGTCTGTCTCGAAGACGGTGAAAAAGCGTGGGAAAACATCAACGGAGACCAAGAAAGCGAGTAGCGTGAAGGAGACAAAAGGGAAAGGAAAGAAGGCAGTGATACACCCCAACAGCAGATTGACGCCGAACCTGAACATCAAAGTAGTGGATAAGGATCCTATGTTTGAAGTCAAGTAAGCTGTGCTTTTGCTATGCCCCAAACGTATTCTTTATTTCGTTTGTTTCTTGTCATGATGATGCATCTTTTCAACAGTGAAAACATCACAAATTGCGCACAAGCTACAGTGTCACTGTCAAATAGATCATCGTCATGGGTTGGGATATAATTCCATCTCTGTTCTTCGAATATTCTTAAAACTTCCTCTTAATAATATCCCTCTTTGTATGAACAATTCCTCTTTGTACAAAAAAATAATGATTTACTCTTTTCTGAAACATGGGGCTGATTTTTTCGCTCTATACTTAGCTTTCTTTTCAAATTCTCCTGAACGATGACAGTTTTCTGTAAAGAAAAGACAGAAATACCTCAGAATTCCCAGGTTATGTTGGATTCGACTTCGAACATGAAAAATGACAAAATGAGGAATTAAAAACACAAAGGGTTTTGCATGATACATGCATTTATTTTTTTGTCCGTCACCCAGGAATGAGACAGAGATTCCCAAGGTGTCAGATTACGTCAACTGTAAACGCTCCATCCGTGCCGTCTTGACCAAGGACAACGCCCTCTTGAAGAAATTGATCAATAACACCAAGGAGATCCCTTCCTTGTTTGTTATGAGAAGCGTGTGTCTGAAGGAAGACGCCTTGGACTACGCCCTCAAGACGGAGAACACCAATGCCCTGAAGCTGCTCATCAAAGAAGATTGCGCTTCCAAAGAACGCAAAGAAATGCCAGTTGGTATGATGAAACACCAAGGAACAGGAAGGTATGAAGAGTCTGGTAATCGCGTAGCCCTACAAAATTCATTATCACCCAGATGGAAAACCACTGTGATCAAGTCCATTGCTCTTAGGGATTTAAGTGTACATAAAGCAGAGGCTATATTTTCAGCCTGTGAGGTGTGAAAACCAACATTTTTTTAAAATGGTGTGGACTATCTACTGATTTGAATTATTTGTTATTCAAACCTCTTATTTCACAATACTGTTATCTTTTTTAATTACGTTTCTCTCCCAATAGATACAACTACCGAACGTTTGGTCATGCTGTGCGTGAAATCAACATGAGTAGAGGTGGCAGAGAGGGTAACAACGCCTTCACCAAGGTAACAAAGGACTGTTGACTTTTAACACGGCTCTTTCAGGATCATACATGAACGTTTTTATCCAAAGGGGTTACAGCTTACTCTCATAAAGCTATAATTTTAGACTTGTCCTTGCAGTCACGGCGATTTTGAAAAAAATTGCTTGTTCGAAATCACATGCTTTAAGTAGATTACTTGCCATGGTAATTCCAAATCGTTATGTAATGTGTATAAGGCCATTTCATACTTGATGCAAAGGCGAAAACAAATGCGAGTTTGGGGATGCCAAAATCAAATACCGCGTTTGCGAATCAGGAAAGATACATTTCAATTTAGAGATTGTCACTGAAAATTTTTAATGCCGTCAAAATGTGTGAAGTGTCTGAAGTGAGAACCAAGTGACTATACTGGACAGACGTTCCTGTGCATTTCCACGTGATCAGTCGTGGAAACATTTTCAGGTTGTCTAAAAAGCCTAAAGAAGGTGTCTTCACACAACTCCTAAATACCATTTGTTATCTTTCCCATGGTGAGTCAGTGGAGCACCCTGAATTGACGGGGGGGGTAGACTGGAATTTCCCCTCCCCAAAAAGGTCATAATGCTCAATCTTCCTTGCCCTCAGCTAGGCCACATAGGATTCATATATTAGAGCTACTATACGTTTGACCCTAATTATGTCTTCATTTTTCAGAAAATAGAATCATTAAATAAATCAAATTATTTGGGGCCCAACTTTGGTGCACCACTTGGTCAGTGGTACCTTGTCCTCTCATGATGAATACGAGTACTCAAAACACTCATGAACTTGCATGTCATTGTGTTTCAGTTTATCGATACTGAGAAAAAAAGGGCAAAAATATCGAGCCAGTCAGTAGGGAACATACTAACATATTACATTGTAATATATAATTTAATTTTGAGTGTACTATATTAATACAATATTATTACATCGTTGTTTCAGCACTTAATATTATAAGTGCGCCCTCCCATTGTTCCAAGGCATATTTTTTTGTTCTCAATCGTGCCAATATATGACAGTGTATTTACTATTCAAATGTCTTCCTGCATTTTTCTCCTCAGGATCTTGAAATTTATCCGGGGTTTTTTATGTATGAGGACCGATACGAAAAGGCTGTCCGGCGAGGAATGTCGCCAGACACGCTCAAACTGCTTTGCAGTTTGTATATTGCAGAAAAAAACCCAATCGAGGTAGGTTGTCTAAGCTCGTGCTAGTTCAGTGATAATTTGGATAAGGGACCCAGCGTTTTGATTTCCATTAGGTTATTCATTTTGATCAGACAGATAAAGGATAAAACACTCCTACCTATCAATAAGTAAATTGAAGTTAAGAGCATTTGCACAAGTGCAACAAAGGAGTAGGACACAGTTTGTCACTTGCCGCGAACAACCGGAAAGATCCAAACATTTAAGTCAGTCAGATACCTGACAGTATAAACCCATCTCCTGGAGATCTCTCATAATGGTTGTTTTATGTCAAAACCTTTGGATTTGACGCATAATATGGATAGGATCCATGTATTGTGGTTGCGATTTGCGAAGCAGTTTCCACTTCAAGTAAACTTGTGAGTAAAAACTATACACTTTTCTAATTGCCCATTGTTTAAAAATGTACCATTACATTCGAAATGTTTTCACATGTATTGTTAGAATAACACTTCCTATTTCTGTTGAGACAATTGAGGGGATCATTAGATTTGCGCTAATCGGTTAGCAACGGGACAGGAAGACAACAAAAGATTTCATTACTTTATTCAAACTTGATGTTTATTGCCATGCAAAACAGTGTGCCAGTCAAATCTTCAAGTTTTCTCAGTTTTCAACGCCACCACCTTCTCGTTCGATTACGATACATACATGTAGCTGGGCTCGGGGAATCATCGTTGAAACCGTGCAGTAAGTCAACTGCCTGTCTTGTCTCAGAATGTACACTTTGTGAGTTATCCTTTCCAGGAGGTCATTGAGATAGCTCCGCAAGAAAAAAAGTCCATGGCATTAGACCAAGTGACTTTGAAGGCCACTGTGCCGGCCGATTTAAGGCATTGACCCAGGTTCCCAACCGATTCATTCAAGAGATCTGTTAGCTCTCTGTGGACGAGTGCAATCTTCTGCTTATGCCTGAATTATCCATTCTGTTGTTGATGACAGCATAAAAAATCTTAACCAAATATGGCCAACCTAGTCATTGATGGAAATGCTACCCATTGACATTCTGTCGAAAGGTCTGATAAGAGTCCCATCTCTAATATCAATAAAATGCTTTTGCTATCTCTTCCCTTTCCCATTCCTAACCAGTTGGCACAATTCTGATTTAAAAGTGATCTTCTAAATGGTTTTATGAAATGTAAAACGAAAAAAAAATTAATCAAATAAGGCTGATACAAAAAAAACCCAGGAAGGGTGATATAACAATACATGTGAAAAGATTTCATCAATAATGGGCTCTTGGAAAAAAGGATAGTTTCTTTGAACTCGTCTAGTATAGGGTAAGATTCTCTCTAGGATGTATAATCGGACAATTTATATAGGTTTTCCCAAGTCGTCAATGAAAAAATTTCTGGATATCTTTACTCTCGAAAATGCAACAAATTTTGTCATCTGCTCAATACTTTCATTTAAAAAGTATGAAATGACTAGCGTCCTTCATCATGCCGTGAGGGCAGGCCACTATGTACTGGCGGGCGAGTTGATCAAGCAAGCAACTTCTGCTGGAGGGTATGGTTTCAACAAGCTTCACCAAGAAGTGAGTAAATCTACGCCGAGAAGGCTCGCCATAGGCTAGTCTCAAACCGGCTGTCAAAACCTCCTTCCTTCCCGTCCCTCGGATCTGAGCCGACTTTACTGATAGTCCCTATCAAATTGAAGTTTTTCCACAAGAAAATAAAAGGTCAAAGTTTTGAGTGACTGTAGAGGAAATTAAAATGCATGTAGTACATACATTGCATTGCATTTTGACTTGAAGTATTAAGATTTCATTTGAATGATGCGTATTTTGTTGTTTAAGGAAACCAGTGGGCCTATAAGTAGCAACTATTTAGCACACCGTAGCCGCAATTGTACATGAATTCCAAACATTAATTTTGATATTTTTCCAACATTAGGTTTTGCTGGCCACTAAGCCACAGCAGCTGAGTCCATTCCGAGCTGTGTCAGTGAATAAGAAAGCCACTGAAAATGACAAGGTCAGTGAATGAAACAAGCAATAATCTTGTATTGATTTTTATGACATGGTAAAGCAGCACATTTGCAGACTTCTACCGATATGAGCTACACAATTCAATCAAACTCCAGCCATTGTTTTTATGCAAATCAAAATGTGGTCACGGCGTCACTCTCTATTGTGGATAAGACCTCCAAGTTTTGAAATTATTTTCAAAAGTCCAATGAAAGGCCACCATAAACATCCCTCCCCGATTCTATGACTTCACAGATCACGCCTCTCCACTGTGCAGCCATCAACCCCAATCCCAAGATCCTAGGCAAGCTGTTGTCTCTCGCGCCAAACATGTATGAACCAGACAATGTTGGGTTCATGCCAATCCACTATGCCGCGGCTTGCGAGGGCAGTGGTCCTCTGGAACTGCTGCTCAACAGGTAAGATGACTTTTGTCTCAAAAATCTCAGTGTGATAGAGATCACTACAACAAAACAACAATCATACCTATTCATCAACAGCCGATCGCGTGAAATAATATGTTGCATTTATTGACAAATCCGACGACCAAAATAAGAAGGCATTACTACGGGGCTGTCCTGTTCACACGCAGGCGGTGCGCGGGCGTGAAATTCCTCCTTGGCCAGTAGGCAGTAGTCGATTGCCAAAGTGCACGCGCGCTTAGGTTGGGACAGCTAGCTGTGTGAATGGCCCCTCGGAGTGGCGTCTCGTCGGATTTGTCTATAGCTTGGTCCTGCATCAATGCGTTTGATATGCCATTCAAAAATGAGTTCCAGTGATCTGAATTCAGTTTATTATGTTGGGCGTGCAATACTGAAGTATGAATGTTAATTTTTCTACATGTTAAAATTTAATCCTTCCTTGCACTGTCATAGACCCCCCTCTGCTAAGTGGTGATCAGGAGTGGTCATAATGGCGTCGCGTCCATTCAGAACGAGTGTAACTTGCATCTCTTGTCTAGTCATAACCATTGAATCGGCGCTTAAACAGATTTAACCCAGTTAGGCATAAGGCAGTGCCTTTTATTTTAAGAATAGGCGTAATTTTTCAGCAACTGACCTGGTTCAATCATGTTATTCTTGCAGAGGAGCCAAAGCTGAAGAATTTCAGCCCAAGACGATGGTTACCCCACTCATGATAGCAGCGAAGTATGGTCGAGAGCAAAATATCGAAATACTCATCAAGAATATAAAGTCTGGTTAGTGCTATCTATTACACATTAAAGTTCTGGTACAAAGAACATGAAAATAGCGTTGATTACATGTGGGAAGGAATGTGTGTATTTCAAACACAGCTTAAAATTTTGCGGGCTTGATTGGTGAGGTATGTGGCTAGGATTTGTAACCCCCAAAACTGTGGTGGGGGGTTCGAACCCAAGAGCTGGTTACTTTATCCGTACTTGTTTCTCATCACATAGTAGGAAGACAGAGACGGTCATTGAGTTCGATTCATTTGTTCCGACTACCCAAGGCCGTTACGAAACAAGACTTAGTGCAATACAGAAACATTCGTTTCGTGGAAGTAGCAAAATATAGTGACGCCATGCTAATTAGTGACGCTCAAATCTATACTGTGGTTAAGTGAGCATTTTCTGAAATGAAACAAACTGCGAGGGGACAATTTTTTTCCGAAAAACTATACTATCTGTCTAAATTAAGCTTTCCAACAGGAAACGGATTAAGGATTCTAACCTCGGACATCCTCAAGGCTGATACCCTTTCTTTTACCCCCTACATTATACAAGTCTGCTTGACTGGACCCCCTTTTCCCTGTTATTTTTCCCATACCCCCCCAACGGACGCTGCTGAATCTGTTTAGGAACCATATTATTGTAATAGAGCGTTTATTAAGAGCTGTGGGTAGTTGGAGAGAGCTGTTTGACTAGTTCTAAGAGCCTGAAAGGCCAGCATCAAGCTCTATGCTTCCCAGGGACATGAGGCATTTAATTACTTTCATTGTACTAGCGCCTTGAGCACGTTGGTAGATCTGTGCACTCTACAAATCATCATTATTATTATTGTAGGTCCTGTGAACGTGGATAGCACCTTGATTACTGGTGAGGGTAGCCTAAATAACCATGATTGTTCACATTATTATAACATGGATATCGATTTAACTTATTCAAAACTTTAACTTATTTCACAATTTGAAATTGCGATCAACATCATGGTCACTATGATCGTGCTATTGGATTTTGTAGCATCAATCTTCATGAAAACATCGAATGTTAATTTTTAAACGTATGAATTGACAGTTTTTGGCATTTTATTTACATGACAGCTGCTGCCTTTTCCGAGAATGAACAAAGCAAGACGGTAGTGGACCGAAAGGATAAAAAAGGACATTCTGCAATTCATTTTGCTGCAGAGGGGGGTCACGTGGTATGTAAACTCGTGTTTGCGGTCGGAGCAGTTCATAACAGTATAGTTTATTGAGCGATTACCAATAGGTTTGGTTCAAACTGAATGTTACTCCCTGACATTTGCTTCGTGTACATTGTGTCCTTCTAGCTTGTGTTGCGGCCGTATTCTTTTGGAACTGTTTTGTGTGGACTGTCTAAAGGCAAAAGGGTGACAAAAGCACTCTCAAAAAGAGCCCATGCCTCAAAAATCCACTTCAACAGAGCGTAAGCGACTCTAAAAAGAGTTAAAACCACCCCCGGTAGAGGAAACTTTACGCTTTTGGAGGTTTTTTTATGGACTCACTCTTTTCAGAGCCAGGTTTTCACTGTTTTGCACTTAAAAAGTACGATAAACCCAATTCCCAGTTTCAGATGAATGTGAGTATTGACATGCCGTATCTAAACCATGGACATTTTTCAAATGCAAGGATTGTGTCCGGAGCTTGGTGAAGCACGGTGCTGACGTAGAAGCAATGGAGTCTGCGGTCAACAATAAGCTGACACCGCTCATGGTTGCTGCTGAGAGAGGACACTTCAAACTGGTTAAAGTCCTCATTGACGAGTTGGGAGCAGTTATTGAGAAACGAGGTAAAGTTGTGCCTTTGATCTTTATAATTCTTTTGAGCTTGGATATTCAGAGCTTTCTGTCAAAAAATTGACAAAGTATTGCAAAGAATGCAAGAAAGAAATAAAACACAGCAATCATTCACTACCAACCCGTTCAGTTTTTGTTTTACTATTCCCCTTGCATATTCTCCTTTAAGCGGAGGAGAAGGCTAAAGTGTGTTGCTATACCTCATACATATGCATGATCGAGAGCCGAATTTTCATTGGATCATGCATCATCACGTGCCATCCCCAGGTTTTACGCACACAGAGTAAATGCGCCTGCGTAGAAAAATAAGCACAAGGTGACCTATGTAACCTACGAGTTCTTCTGCGCATGCACCTTACAAAGCAATCGAGGAACTGTCGCCTTTGTTACACACATGTACAGAAAGATGTGCACATGAAAGGATGGTGGCAGACGTAACTGTCGATCAGCTTTTCCCGTGTGGAAATGGAGAATTTGTGGATAATAAAGGTGCCTCCTCTACTAAGAAATTGTCCACAATTTGGTATAAGCTCTTAACAATTACTACGATGCCAAAGGACCTAATATCTCTCCTCGGTCGAATGCAAAAAAATAAAAGTTTGTGAAAACACATACATCCTGAATGCGTTTTATTTCGCAGAGGTTTACTGAATATGTAAGACGCATAGTAAACCAAATACCGCGTGGTTTTATTTCGGTTGAATAGTCAAAACTAGCTCCCCGGGATGTTGGAAGTTGACAAACTAGTCCTCAAGGCAGAGTTTGTCCACTTCCAACACCTCATGGAGCTAATATCGGCTGTCCAACCTCGAATCAAATTGTATATGTAAACTACCCCTGGGACTTCTCCATAGGAGCTTCATACAGGCATACCTATGAAAAAAAAGTTGGTGGTAATCTACTGCCTAGTACCTGTGTCTTCAATCGTGGTGTGCGCGCCTTGTAAAGTTTCCAATAGGTAAAAGTAATCATCAATAATTGGGATCGATGTTGCTTGAGTAGGCCTTTTCCTGTAAAACACGAAAGTGACCAAGGAAATAATGCCAGCAAGTCGGGATGTTCGTTCAAACCCTAACAGACAATAGCGCGCGTAGCACATTATTCCATAAAAACGCATTTTGTCCTTCATTTTTGCAATAAAACACGACAATAAAATTGCTTACATGGAAAAATAACTGGACTATTCCCCCAGATAAGATCAAGCGCACCTCTCTGATGCTGGCCTGCATGAACGGTCAATACCCAGTCGCTACTCTACTCCTGAGGAAAGGAGCTGATCCTAACGCCAAGGACTCCTCAGGAAACTCTCCAGTCCACTATGCTGCTGCTTATGGCTGGTGGCACTGCCTCAAACTACTCCTCCAAGCTGGTGGGGATCCAAACACCTTCAACGACTGGAAGGTACATGTATAGGATGTCTTGGAATGTTTTACACGAATCAAAGTTTCAGTCAGTGTTTTGCACTGGCTCAAAATTTTAAAAAGAAAGGTGGTTTACCATTGCCGGTTTCAAGCTTCAAAAGAGGAGGCATCCAGTGTGATGCAACTGAGAGTATTTTCTTTCAACTATAAAAAACGCCCTCATGTATCGTTGCAGTGTAGGTAAACTACCATAGTGACCTTACAGTGAAGCTGTCCGCACACTCTCATATCAGGCATCACGAGAAAGACGGTGGTTTCCACCCCTTCACTGATGATTTCTGGATGCTTAAGTACCTTTCAAATTGGCAGCAAAAGTCTTTCTCAACCAGGTCATGTTTTTAAGCGGGAAGTACATGTCTTCAAATCATGGCAATGAAGAAGCTCTGTGGGTTTTGTCATTTTCCTAGGTCCCCCCACTGGGCGTTGCTTATCTGAAGGGCCATTTTGGATGCGCGGACCTTCTGCTCAAACAGCCGGTCGTGGATGTTAACTTCAGAGACGAAAATGGCGCCACCCTACTGCTGAAAACGTGCGAACAAAACATGACTGCAAGCACAATGGAGCAGTTGAAATACTTGGTCAAGAAAGGGGCTGACGTCCTTGCACAGACCATCAATGACCAAAATGCAGTAATGTGCTTTTGTACTTGACGTTTAAAACATTTTCTACTAAGTTTTTATACGCGTATAGATTTGATGTCATTTAAGACATCATGTTAATGTAGATATTTCAAAGAGGAAATTTGCAAGTACAAGTATAGACACGTTTGCTCTTGCATTTGACTGATATGGGATCACCGCGATCTGGTCTTGTTGAAAGTACTATTCTTTATCCCAAATCAATTGTACTCGCGAGTTCAGACACATTTATTATTACCTTTTTGAGGGTGCGTAGATCTCAACAAACAACCAAATGTGACCCACTCTGTGAAAATGAGTCTTAAGTTGCCAAAGCCACATTTTGAGTTTTCATTTGTATTCGAAAGAGCAAATGGAGCTTTTTGTTTTGATGTATCGCTCAGTTTGGCATCCTGATGGAAGTGGATTCTCCATGGTGAAAAATGCTGTTGGTTCCTATTGCTTTACATTGTGAAAAATTATTCTGAAGGACTTTTTACTCCAAAATGGCTCTGGCGACTTAAGACTCCTTCTTGCAGAGTGGGTCGCAAATGTGAATGTACATGTTAGAGCATTGTTATCTCCAGGAATGTATCTCTTTATGACACGTGCAAGGCATATGCGAGAGTGAATGCGAGCATTGAAGCTTCAAGCGTTAAGAATCTTGGCAAGTGCCCAGAGAAGATTGTAAAGATAGTCTTCAAGGGGAAGCAATTCAAGAGCATAATTTCACCATAAAATAATGTAACGGTGACACTAATTAATAGTCTGTTTACCCTTTAAACATTTTCTTTCCAGCTCCATGTCATTGCATTACACAACCAGCAGTCTGAAGACCAGATTAAGGTAAATAATCATAAAATATAAAAAGGATTCGACGAGACCATGTATAAAAAACTTGTTTTACCTCCTGGATGGACTTGCCGTCTCTGGGTAAAACAGGTTGCCAATGATGCCCGCTACTTTCTCGATAAATACCAGTAACGTTCAATACCATCAGAGAGAAATAATTTATGCTCAAATTTCCAAAACTCCAAATCGAAAAGTAATTGATAATGCTGAAAATATTTCAATTTAAAATCAAATACTTAAACTATATTCTAATGCGACGCATTAATAAGAAAAATGATTAATAGTCATATACTTTTCAAGATGTATTTTTTTTGGTGGTCGAGTGGTTAAGACATCTGCACTAGTNTTAATATACATTGGGTAAGGGCAAACCTGTTATATATAGTCATATACTTTTCCATCATCTAGCCCAATCCTTTGGAGTCATCCCTCAAAGTAATTGAGATGTTTATGGACAAAGGCTGCGACCCTGGGCAGAAAGACAATAATGGAAAAACTCCCATTAGTATAGCCCTCCAAAACGTGAGTACCAACTGAAGTCTAGACTTTATTTAGCAGTATTATCGTCAGAAGTGTACTGTTTCAGCTTGAAAGATTGGCATCATTTATCACTGGTATTTGAAGTACAGTTTTTCGTAGGTAATCTACATGGTCCAGTCCAAGGTGGATCATGACCCATTCAGTTTGGGGGGAACAAGTAAAGCAGCGTCCAAGGTGCACTTTTGCATTGAGTGATCACACCAGTCACATTTAAGCAGCTGTTCAGAAACAATTTCCTGTACCAAATAGCTCTTTCCATATAAAACAGCCGCCATTTAAGACACTTGACATCTAGATCCTGTTTTTGATTTTAAAAATCCTTATTTTTTGTAGGGGGGATGGTCCCTGTTGCCCCCCCATCTGCCCTTGTGTCCTGTACCGATCGGTACTCGTAATATAAGTACACTTGATTTCAAACCATTGTCTTGGTTTTAGTCTTCAGGACAATGATTAAATGTACTGCAGCTGTGAAAAGCTATTTTACCAAATATTTTACCAACCACCCGGTAATGGTGACTTTGCCTTGGTTGAAGGGTCACCCGGAATACCTGAAGACATTCCTGGTCAAGGGGCAAATGGTGTCCCTAGATGCAGACAAGAGCGAGAAGAACCCGCTACACCACATGGCCGAAATCTGCAGTAGTTCGCAGGTTGCCATCATCAAGATTCTTGCCGGCATGGTGAGAGACAGTGGTACAGTCTAGCATTCTCAAAATTGATACCACAAATCACAATGCTCAAGTTCAGTTCTTGGGAGAGGTTACCTTTCCTTCCACCTCTGAAGTCTACGACTCAGGCTAGTTCAGGAGTTCAGGATGTTCAGTTGAAAACAGTTGTGGCAAAACACTTAAAAGTGAGGCATTTGATAGATTGAAAGGAATATATTTCGAATTTTTATTTTTTCTTTCGTTTTTTAAATCAAGTTTTTAATCCCCTGGAAAATGATTCCCTGAGAGACACTTCCCTGTCCCACTGGTAAAGTAACATCGAGCCCTGCACATTGACTTTGCTTTTTCAGTAGCTCAAAAGTAGGGCCCAACGTTTAAAGTGTTTATGCTAAAATCATCCAATTTCCAGGACAAGACCGGAAATCTAGAGGAAGCTGCTAAGATGGAGGATAAGCAGGGATGCACACCATTCCTCAGATGCATCTTAAATCACGCGCATGTAAGATAATTTCGTTTATTTTCTAGGAGTAGCAGAAACCACGTCTACTCCATTAAGAGGAAAATAAATAAGTATTGATGCCAAGAATTTTAGAAGAAGAATAGAATTATTTAAAGTTGTTGGTTATTTTTGTGCAAAAAGTAGCTCAATGGCGAAACATTCTACATGTAAAATGGCAATATTCGTACTTGAGCTTACAATCCTTTGGTGAATAATAAATAATTGTGGTAAACAAAAACAAAAGCAAAAGCTTCAGATTTTTCAGTGGTTCAGAGGTCAAAAGGACTAGCTATTTTTTTTAAAAATGCACGACTGGTTTAATAAAGCATGTTTTATTCTTCCCAAACAGCACATCTCGGATGAACACGTGTTTGCCATGTTAAAGGTAACAGATGGTAACGTTTGTTGTGGGTGATGAAAATTAATGAGTGTTGTGATTATTATTACAGTATCAACAATTTGTTTTCAAGGGACCCATGCAATGTAATCGTTTAATAATACTGTTCTTGTGAATCGTCCATTTTGTTCCATTGAACCTGATTTTCGATTGTCGCTGTGCCATTGTGAGGACGTTTGTGGTGACTTTTTTATCTTTATAATAATTATATTTGTGAGTACAAGTGCATGTGATGTCATCAGTGTAACAGGTATTTCTGCACAAAAGGTTGCTAAGATTTAGATTTTTCACTGTTGTCAGATCATGACTATAGGCTGGTGAGCAATGGTTTCTTCCAAACGTTTTCTTTTAGCGAACATGTGATTGACAATTGGAACAGGAAACCCCCAAAATGTGTTTTGAACTGATCTGTACTCGTTGCCATAATCACAGGCTTTGATCGACCTCTGTAAGTCTGACATCAATGCCTGCGTGGATAAGGGTCCAGAAACTGCTCCCCGTAAGTATAGTTAGTTTAGACAAATTGCGAGACAGTTTTTCCAAATTGTACATGTATTTTTTATAAATTTCATTTCATGATAAACTTGTTACACCGTTTTGATTATGTGCGCTAAAACTGTATTTTTATGGTATTATTCTCCTGCTAAATTCGATCGTTAGCATTAACCTGTCACGGAACGTTCCTTTGAGCTGTGATTCCACCTGTGGACTAAAACATGTTGGCCTAACGCATGTAATCAGTCATGTTTCTGATTTCTAAACTAAATGTCGAGAATGGATCGAAAATACTGTTGTATTTAAAGAGTCTGTTTCAATTTGGTTTTTAATTTCAACTCTTAAAATGGTACCCTTTTCTTTTTTGCTGAATATTTTCAATTCCATTTTTTATGTTGCGTTTCAAGAGACATTTTGTTGCCATTTTAGTTGTATGATAATGAAAATGTTTATATAGATGCACGAGGAAAAATATTGTGTCCAGCGAGAGTCCTTGTTGCATAGACTTACACTCGGAATCCGCTTGAAGTTCTAATGGTTGGCCCTGCTAAATCATTACCACGAGATGAGGTTCAGATACTTTCTGTTTCATCAATTCGTACACCCAATTGCTTCCAGACCGCCATGCATGCTCGTGTGCTCTACACATTCTTGCTGCATATCCACCAAGCAAGGCCTTGTCGCTGATCATGGAGTTGAAACCCGAACTGGATGTGCTGAATGTTGATGGATACACCCCACTGCTGTTGGCCATCAACGCAAGACAAACTCAAACTATTCAAACATTGGTATGTACGTTTTGGTTCCCAGTTTTGAGTACGACTGCATATTCCTGAAGTGGCTTCCCCTCCAACTGTCAAAACAGCCATTGATGAATCAATAAAAGATTTTGGTTAAGATCCAGGGGCCAATTTCAGAGCTGGTTAAGCACAAAATCTGCTTCATGGAGAGAAAACCTTACTTGATAAATCTGGTAACCAGCCAAAACTCCATGTGAAGTATATTGTTTTGGGATTGTACTTAGCTTTTTGGGGGTTAGCATAACAATCACATTGAGTTTGAGTTCAGCAATTTTGTGCTTTATGCAGCTCTATGAAATTGGCCCCGGATTCACAAAGCTGAACGTAACCTATTGTCATACATCTGAATTCTGTTGTTTTCATTGGCTCAGAATGATCACATGACTGTGTGACAGAATGCATGTCACCCTATTGGACATCACACGAGCCCGCTTTTCGTCATGGTATCATATGCGCACGCATGCGCGCATGGGACCCACAGTGAACAGGATAATAACGGACCGCTAACTGCTAATATCCCTTAGAAAACTAATGTGAAAAAAAACAACATCTGGACAGAGATATGACAAAACAAATGTTGACTGTTGTGATATGGGATGTCACGTTTTAAGCACCTGAGGGACGCTTGTACATGTGTACCCGAGGTGGAATTATTAGTCATTTTATTAATCATTTTGATATGTTTATATAGGTTTTCCCGGCCGAATTCATTGTCTTCGCACACAAATTAACGACAGTTTCATTCAAATTAGCACAAAATAGATGGACGATCTAGATCTCCATTCAAAGATCACCATTCAAAGAGGAACACTGATCATTCAGCTGAAATATAAGAGCATGCGATTGCACAAACTTGTTTTTCAAAAGTGACGGGTCAGCATTCAATTTGGAAAAACACTCTGAAAGCATTCAAATTCGCGCGGACACTCACGTGGTGTGTGTTTTGGCGTTCAGTGTCGTGAATCGGCAAGCATTTGTGAGTTTCGTGTAATGTTATTCATTAAACGTTAAATTTCTCAATTTAAATTCCTAAAAATTCTTGTTTTCTTTTGGATTAATTTATGCAAAAAATTTCATAAAAGGAAACGTTTGGTTAACGTGTAGAAATCTCTATAAAAAAACGATTGATCAGTGTTTATTTGCTAATGCGTATTTGTTCTGTTTGAATTGTTATGAAAAGAAAGCGAAGTAAAATTATTTATATCACACATATGGACAAAGTGGAGAAATGTCTGAAAGGGATGAGCAAAAATTGAATGAAACATGAGAGCAAAAACATCACTTTAAAAATGTGATCAAAAAGAAAATTAGCCATTGGTTAAGAGAATCCGAAAAATTCCTTTTAGACATGCACATTTACGGAAAGAGGGTTTCTTGTGTAAAAATAAAGAAATTACCAATCAGTAAACTGCATCTAAAGGATTTTTCTTTCAGCATCTGTGATGAAGGTCCAGGGAGAATTTGATTTCTACACGTGATTAGAGGGGCAAATCACTATTTGAACAAATATACTGTATTCTTGATGTGTAATTTGTTTCACAGAGATATATATATATAAATATACATTCAAGTCTTTTACGTGGGGCACACTTCCAGCGTGTTTTCTGTTTGTAGTCCCCTTTTCTGTTTTATACGCATCTTAAGTTGTTGTATATTCCTCTTACCTTAAAGTTTTCCAATTTGAAGGTTCAAACTGCGGTCATGATTGACCATAGACAAACACGAAAGTTAACTTTGGGAGGAATTTCTCATTCCAGTCACCCAGCGCGAAATCGAATGATGGTTATGCACTGTACTGTTCAATTAATTAAATTAATTTTAAATTGAATTTGTTACTCTACACTATTCGACGCCTGTAAACTAATTTGAAGGCTGTTTTGTATGAAAAAGAAACATGGGAGCAAACAGCTGAAAAGAAATTGGTGGAATACGAATGAACAATAATGAATATGACTGTGAACATGACGAATTCGGCCGGGAAAACTTATATTAATAGATCTGTAGATCACACTTAGGATTACGAGAATGTTGCTTCAAAGAATCACAGAAAACTTGCCATTAATGACACTTTAGTCCTGCCACAAAACCTGTTAACTGTCATTTTTCTCAGCTATCTGAGGGAGCAGACCCGAACACTGGTGACAAGTTTCAACATCATGCTCTGCTGATGGCTGTGCGGTGAGTCTTTTGGCGCATCAAAGTCATTGATTTTCTTTTACTTCATGGATTTTTCATACTTTGTAACTGTGAGTGCACTGTGGCTGATCCGATTTATTCTTGGGCCAATTGATTACTTTATCTTAGCATTTTGATATTATCCATATTGTGGATTGTGGACCTGTTAGTCAGAGGGATATTTTTTTGTTTATTACCAGTAAAAAATCAGGGTACAGACTGAGCATAATTAGAAACATTTTCAAAAAGGTGTTTTACTAGAATACTTATAACGTCCTTTCCTGCTAGTTTTGATAAATAAATCAATATGTGTGGCTATCTGCCATGTCAAAGCGTGTTTTTGATCCCTGGAAACCAGTGTATCTGGCCAGGCTTTCTAACTAGTAAAGTGGTTTTTTTTCATCAATAGCAAAAACCTACCAGACATCATTCCAGACCTCATCGCCGAAGGTGCCAGTCTCGATCACTCCTTATTCAAGAACGGGCAGCCAAGCATTATGCACTACGCCCCTGCCTACATCGGTGAGTTCAACTGAGCCGTACTTCTTTCAGGCACATTTTTTTTACAGTGGTTTGACTCCTTCAGCATTTCACACAGTCCTTCTGAAGTAGAGGTATAGGGCTTGGTTTGTCTGTGAAGTAGGGTCTTTGTCCAATATTTTTTTTTGGTAGTCATTCCTCTACCGTAGAAAACATTCCTGTAACCATTAGCCTACCTGCCGTTATGGTAAATAAGATTAGCTTCAATAATTTGGATGAAGCCCTTTAGAAGCAAAGGCCTCGCCTATTAAGAAGGCTCTATTCACTTCAAAACTTGTTCCTAATTTCAATCATCCAGTCCAAACTTACCATGATACCGCATGAAGCCAGTGTGCTCTTCTGTTACGGTAAAAACAATCGTATCATTTTGTTAGGCAGTGAAAACATAGATGGAAATAGAGACCTTCAGGTTCTAATACTTCTCGTCTGCTGTTGACTTTATAACGTCTTGTGATTCACCATTTTACTATTGGAGCAAGTGATTTTGGTTAAAAGGATCCCTAAACGTCTAATGTAGAACATGATGTAGACCTCAGTAAACGGCCAGCTCTCAATGATCAGTCCTCAAGTTTAGCGAATCCAGAGACTTGTCATTAAACCACCCATGCTCCTTCAAACGTAGGGGTAATTTTTCCCCATTTGCCTTTATAACTAAAGCGTGTGAAAATCAAGCAATTTTAGTCTCAACTCTCAAATAAGGTTACCAGTTCCCCCCCAAGTAAAAATCCTCCCAAAATTCGGTTGCGGATTTTGCCTTTGCCTTATATCAACCACCATTGTCCAGTGTTGGAGTCGAGTCCACAACCCTCGAGGCCAAGGCCTAATCCGAGTCTTTGCATAGTGAGGCCAAGGCCAAGGCCTTGAAAAACCGGCCTCGAGACCTCCCAACACTGCCATTGTCCTTACTGGTTATCTGTATACCGAAGGTAAAAATGTATCTACGTACCCAAGATTATGTGACATGCATGTCCACCCCATTATAGAAAAGGTAAATCTTTACAGGGCTTCGCAGTTAGTTCGATTTTTGAAGAAGCTTTTGGCTTCAGAAAGGTCTGTCCTGCAAGACCAAATCTCTGTCTGTATATTAATTTGAGGCATATACAGCATTTTCGAATGGAGATGAGGAAACGGGGGTTTGGGGGTAGCCAATCAAATACCTGGATTTGCTGCTTCTTTCCAAAATTCAACCAAAGTGATATTATCAACTGATCCTGCTACATTTTTCTCTAGGGGATCTCGAGGCCAAAGTTCGCACTGTAGAAAAGCTAGTTGCGGCGGGAGCTTCTCTGGACGCCGTTGACGATGAGAACAGGACCGTTTTGCACAACGCAGTTAACGCAATCCAATCCCACCTGACGACAGAATTGTTGGAGTTCCTATTAGACCAAAATGTGGACATCTTCCCCGTAGACAACTTTGGCAGGCTGCCAATCCACTATGCGTTGTACAAATACAAGTAGGTTTTTTGGTTTTGTTTAAGATACCCTGGCGGTAGAAATTGAATAGCTGGTTATCCTGAACAGGTGTAGTCCCCCTAAAATGGAAGATGTGTGGTAATAAATTAATATGCAATTCATTTTGCTTTGGCAAATATCATTGAATTGTACGAGGGGCAGAATCTGCCTCCCCTTAGAACTTGGCTTTGACACGCCTGATCTTCTCGTAACTCGGTATATAGAGACGCGTAAGTTTCAGTTAAGCCTGACATATGTTTTGGTCGTTGAGGCCATTCGAAGTTTTTGGCCGCATGTGTCTTGCCCCGCCTGCATTGAGCACAGCAAAAGCTTATATTATGGACTAGTGTTCTCGGAAGAATGTGCATTTGTTGAGAAATACCTGTCTGATTTTTAAACAATCGGAGTCAAGAGGACCATAAGACTTAGTAGAATTTCTCCTGAAAGCTTAGCGCAGGAAAAAAGTCTTACAATGATATCATAGAAATTATTGAAGAGGTGATTCTTCAACGCTTTCATGGAACTTGAGGGTAATTACTAATATTTTTATTTAAACAAGACAACTTGGGGATTTTTTAATTCGATCGATTTTTTACTAAGAGTTGACCAACTGAAGAGTGATCACGTGAACCAATAAGTAGGGTCTCACGGAGGTGTAACCTGATTCTTCTGACTTTCTTTTCGAATTAAGTGAAATATTGGTTTCTTCTTCCTTCTCGAAGCCCTTTCGGAGACGACAGTCCGCTCCGTGGTGGTCAGTTCAACAACACCACCGACCTAGATCCCATTGAGATTGTGAGCATGCTGGCTGCCGCAATGAACGGTAAAAAGATGAACGTACAAGACAAGTATGGCCGCACGCCGCTACATTATGCGGCCTACCGAGGGGCCATGATCTGTGCTATGCACATCTGTGAGGTGAGCTGAAACACTAGGTCTTTGCCATCAGATGTAGGAATCATGTAAAACGCTACAGAGAAGTCAGACTTACTCATTCAAACGGAATTTTTCCATGCTGTACCAAATTAATGGTGATCAGCATCATAGAAATAACGTTGGCTTAACCGTGTAAGTTATCAGTGCACCCAAATATAAATGATATCATTGTCAATGTAACTGATGATGATTCAGTCGAACCTTGATATCAATGAAAAATGACAGTGTCTATTATAAACTTGTAAGCATGAAGGTTTCAATTCACTGAGATCAAGAAGGAACAAGCTGGAGGGGCTGCAGAGATGTTGTAACCTCTTCCTGAAGTGTTCATTGAATGCCGTCAAATGCATTCTCTAACTTTAAACCTAACTTGCAGAATTGAATTTCAATCAGATTACTGTATTTTGACACCATACATGAACTTGTTTGCCGGCAAATATTTCTTTTACCAGTAGAGAGCAAACTGATGTCGCCTCTTTTTGAAATTTTGTAGTGGATAGACGACATCGATGTTGAAGATAAGGATGGACACACACCGCTATCCTTGGCTGTCCTTAATGGAAAACAAAGGTAACTCAATTTAACAAAAATTTATTTGGAAACAAGAGGTTTAACACCAAAAATTCTTACGGGACGAAACCATGCAGTGACAAGCACCGATTTTTCTTTTCAATCACCTATTGACAAAATATCCGGATTGTTTTTGTCTTACCCCCTGTGGTTGATTTTGGTACTCAGCATGGCTATTTGGTTAATCCAACGCGGTGCCAATTTCAACCGAGAACTGACGCTGGTTGGGCTGGAAGCCAGTCCTAAAGATGACGCAAAGCGTGCAGCGTCTGCCTCAGACCCATCCCAATCTTCGTCCCCATCCACGACCCCGCCCAAGTACTGGACATGGAAAGCCGTGGCAGATCGTACTACCCCCAAGCCGCAGGCGAAGACCACCATCTTCCAGGCCGTGGTGTATGAGGAGTGGCAGGGAGCTGTTTACGTCATGATGGATCGGATCACCAACTTTGGCATTTCCTACCCAGATGCCATCGAGGTACATGACCCTGCGTGCTGGACTTTTGATGTTTCACCTTGACAAAAGTAACAAATCTTTATAATTATGAAAGCCACTTTGAAGAATGTGCTACAATTTAGCCGGAACCCAGTGAAGTGTTCTGCAGAATTTGTAAGAACAAGCAAGGAAAAAGTGCATGGAGTCAAAATGTAACTAGGGTAATATCATGTTATAAAGACCGGGGTATTTTGACTGTTGATCCTCAATACTTTGTGAAGCCCTTACTTTTTTAAAGTTTTAAGTATACAAAACTGTTCAGTTTCCTTCGCCGGCAGAGATAGAGGACAAAAATACAAGTGGTCTCAATCTGATGTTTTGATGTTTCATTTCGCAGGCTGTTCTCACACAGCAAAACTTCCAGTTGGCTAATGAATTTATTCGCAAGCTGCGTGAGCCACGCAAGTTGCAGACCACCAACAGCAAGTCTCAGAACCTACTCCATCTTCTGGCCATCCATGCAGAGGGCGGGTCCAGCCTGCAGGCTCGGGTCAGTGGGAAAAATTGTCTTTAATGCAGTATGACACTTGTTTCCATCCCTTGACTACTTCCTGTGCCTCTATACCACTCTGTCAACTCCCTTTGGAAAGCCATTTTATTTGATATCAGTAGCCGCCGATCCAATGGTTTATCAGGCGAGTTTGATTTTGTGTGTGTTTATAACCAAAAATCGGATATTTACCTTGCAAATATGCACATCCATTACAAGCTACCCTATATTTGACTCATGAAAAGCGCTCTGGGTTTGGGCAGTTTCAATTTAACGCATTAATTTGAAAAGAGGGACGGAAATGGAAAGGGCAGCGAAACAGCACATAAAAAGTAGCACAGTTCAAATCCTTTTCAAATCTGCTGTCACCAACATGCAACAGCAAAATTGTGAGTCTGGTGTTTTTTCATGAGCATTGACAAGGAATATGAAACTGAAACTAAGATATAGCAACCTCCTTTGAACCTCCGTGCACTGGTCATCTTCTTGTTAAATCTAGATCGCCACAGCTTTACTACGCAAAGGCGTCAAGCTGTTTGTACCAGACTACAAGGGCTGCACACCGGTGCACTATGCCGCAGTCAACAAGAACGCCGTGCTGTGTGATGTCTTTGCCGGTAAGCAATTCATGTTGGAGTTCCATCTACCCACGCCAGCCCAGCCTGAGGATGGGGACATTGGTAATCTCAGACGTGTTACTAATGACCAATAGATGGAAACTAAGCCATATCGCCATCGTATCACATAAATGGTTACATCGTCTTGGTTGCTCTCTTGAGTTCTTAGTAGCACAAAACTGATTTTTCCTCAAACCAGGAAGGGCTGCATTAAGTTTGAGTATATTATAGTGTATACAGTACACATGGGGTGGATTCTTAGTGTTTGTATTTTTCGTATACAAAATGGCGGTGCTGCGTTCACGACTCTTCCAGGTGTCTCTTTGATAAAATAGAGTTTTATGGGTTCCTTTGCATCGTGCATGGCTTAGCCGAAATGTTTCAAGATTTTTCTGCATTTCTTCTTTTCTTTTGGAGCTCAAGAAATTATGTAAAATGTTTACACGACTGATTACTGAATACCCTTTAATAATTTTTTCCCCACAGAGCAAGATCCTGTAAGTTTCCAAAGCTGTATCACATGTGCTGATAAAAGAGGCAGGGTGCCAATCGTGTCTCTATTCTGGGGTCTATCTTACAGTGACAACACCAGTCAAATTATTCAGTAAGTTGTAAAAACACCAGTCAAATTATTCAGTAAGTTGTAAATTCTACTAATGGGTCATTCAAAATTACACTACGAACACCTAACAAAAGAAACACAGCGCACTAACAATGGGCATCCATTATTATTACACCGTACTTCCTTTGTTAGATGTTCATAGTGTTATCAACGTTTTGAATTGTATTCTTTAAAATTAATCCGCCCACAACAATTTTTGATCTTTAAACTCGCCCTACCGTTCAGTTCTCTCCAAATACATGATGTTGACTGAAAAGTAAATATTCAGTTTTGATGGTATTTCAATGACCCATTCAACCACGTTTTTAAAAAAACAAATTTGAAATTTAAGAGCACTAATCAGTTTGAAATGTCCAAAACTTATCCAATATCTAACAATGACAAATTAACCATTCATTAACCATTTTAACCCAATAAATGGCAAAATCAATTTCTTAACATACCACGTTTCCATTATTTTGTTTATTTGTTACTATTCCATGCCATCATCTGATAATTTACACAAAGAGTTAGCCGTTCTTCCTTGAATGACTATTGACATTCGTCTTCCAGACTGATCAAAAAGCATAAGGGAAGCCTGGATGTCTGCGCCGCCTTCCCCAATGTCAACCTTCTCTGTAAGGAGAAACTAACCCGCTCAGAATCCCTGCAAGATTGGTACCACAATCTACCGGATGACAAGACGACCGACGTCACGCCGCTCATCTTCACGATCCTCATGAATAACTTCGAGGGTTGCAAACTCCTGCTACAGAAGGGGGCCAGTCCCAATGCTGCAGACAGGGATGGAATGACGCCTGTCATGCACGCCGTCAAACAGGTATATTTTGTAACCCAAACTGCAAAATACCAAAGGTATCTATCCTATTCGTCTGTTTATTCAAAACGAAATATAGTTGACGCAGAAAGTTGTTTTTTTGTCGTTTTCAGAATGAGCTCGCCCTTGTGAGTGCGTTACTGAACCCCAGTTTTGAACCTGAGAAGGTAGGAATGAAAAAAGTCAGTGGCAGTGAAGTGCAAATGTCACCCTGGACGTCTAACATCTGGAGAGAGAAAAGTAAGCCCTATTCAGAGTTCCATTGATAGCGTTTAGCCTACCTGATTTCTTTTATGGATAGAATTGGAATCAACCCACATTTTTGGCATGGTAACTAAGATATAAACTCACATTTTTATTCCAACAATGGTCCAGAATCCGGCTCCTATTCCAGTACAACAAGAATTGCTATTGGAGAAGGTTACGTGGTGCATGAAGATGAAGATCAAACGGCCAAGCCTAAATGTGAGTATATATTGTACTATCTTGCCAATCAAGCCGCTTTACATTAACGTTAAACCGAGCTGATGTGTTGACCACAGTTGTTGACATGTACACTTTAATGACATCATAGCGTCTGCAGGGACGCAGCCTAAGCCTTCCATTGAGGTAGACTTGAATGCCACCGACTCGTTCGGTCGGACTGCAGTTCACCACTTGATGAAGACTTGCGACTTTGGCACCTATGAGAACGAGGAGATCTTGAAAAAGTTAGCCGGTAAACGAGCCAAGTTGGTCCTGCAGGATCGTCGAGGCAAGACACCACTCGACTACACAATGGAGACTGGATCCAAACGAATGGCAACTGCACTGCAGGGATTACTCAAGGTGGCCCCACGACAGCGGGTAGGTCAGACCGTATATCTGTTGGTAAACATAAACATCAGAAAAGACGACAAATTATGCCAACCCATCAATTCAACGAAACCTTTTGTTTCTTTTGACATACATCCTGACGTTGAAATGCGAAATAAATTGTCCCGAAAAGGGCAATTAAAAAAAGAAAGGGATATATCCAAGCTAAGTGCTTGTTGTTTTTTTTTGAACTAGAGGTAAAAAATACCAGAAGTATCTTGCTCACTTTGTTATTAAAATGCTGAACAAAGGCCTTCTTTAGACAAGCTGTTTAAATCGTCTTCGCATGGGTATCTATCAGGATGGTTAGGTTGAGTTCTGAGCGCGGTCCAGTCAAACTTATTTTTTGTTTCCTAGAGAATAGTACATTGGACTGCATTTTGATAGGAACATTTCCTCCTAGGCAATATGTTTGTAGTTGGAAGTAATTATTGTACATACATTCCTTGTTTTTCTTACTTTCTAGGTCTACCCTCGTCCTGTGATCCCAGGCTGGTCCGACGGTCTCCAATTCCCCCCCACCAAGCCCGATGTGGACAACGATTCTAAGGCGATGGTGGCACTTCTCGAGGCAGAGCGTAGCAAGACATGCCAGGAGGAGGACTTCACACCCAAAGTAGATGAGCAGTCCGGAATGCAGACTGGAGGGTTGGTACAAGCTAATAATGCCATCAAACCTTGAAATGATTGTATCTTTGCAGACGAGGAAATGAAACCACTCCAAAATTCCGTATCATTCGCCTCGAATGTCACACTTTTCACCTTTTCCTAAAACAGATCGAAAAACACCTCTTTCAGTCACTCAAAGGTGCAGGAAACGCTCATAATTTACTCTGTGAAGTTTTCTAAAACAGATCTAAGAATGCCACTTCATTACTTCAAGATGTCGGATATAACAATTCCTCACTTGTCATCTTGAAACGATCTGTTTCCTTGCATACTCGGTGTAGAAGACTCTATATGCCACAACCGTCTGACAAAAAGTTTCGTCGGAATAAGCTGCAACATGCTTCAGGCCTAATATGAGAAATGTTGAGATACCTGGAAGCCTTGTCATCGTGATACTTGGGTGTTATTTTTGGTCAAGCATGTACAAAAATCCCTAGTCTCTATTTCCAAGCCAGTAATAGATATCAGTTGCTTATTTTGAGAAATGCATGGAAAAAGCAATTATTCTACGTTACCCTTTGAGAATGCTTTGGAAAAGGTACAACCAGGTGAACGCACTCAACATTTCAAATTCAATAGATGCATGTTCATGAAAGATGGCCTGTGGATTTCGCATGGCTCATTTAACTTCGAAGTTGTTTGTTGATCTTACAGGGTTGTGGTAATGGACGACGAGCAGAATATTGGGTATGACATAATCATGACAAAAGTTCAAGTAGAGTATGGACGTTACGGTTTGAACAACTTCTACAGAATGCAGGTGAGAAAAAAATTGTTTATAGTTGTGTTGTGTGTTTAAAGTGCTTGAACACATAATTTTTGCTTTTGTCAAGTAAATTTTCCTATAATTGTTTCAACTGAGATTGATGTGGTTTCCAGACTTGAACGATACCTGCTTTAAGTTTTGTGCCTTACCCTACATATAGCTCTATAGTTTTGTTGTATAAAAAGTACGTGTGATCTTGAAAAATCTCTTTCTTCGTCTTTGATCTTCATTAATTAAACAAACTCAGGGCACACATTACTCTGACAGTCAGACAAATTTCAGCATCAATTACAGATTGAAGATATTGTTTAAAACAAAACCTGAAAAGTTTATTAATATAATCTTTTTTGAAAAACATATTTCACATTATGTAGTCATTTTTTCACATGAAATAAACCGTAGGTGATCCATCAGTTGGGCAAGGACATGTTCGTGTTATTCACCCGCTGGGGTCGTATCGGCGATACTGGACAGTTCCAAAAGACACCGTTTGGTACCAAGGAAGACGCCATCGCTGAATTCAAGAAGATCTTCAAAGCAAAGAGTGGAAACGAGTGGGCAAATGCCAAAAGGTTACAAATTCAACCTTTAAGTGATTCTTTTTACCGGAAGAGAGATTAGGCTGCATTGAACCTTTTAAAAAAGGAACCCTTTAGACCCAGGCTGAAACGAATCCATTGACGTTTCACTGGGCATGATTCCTGATGGCACCCTTTAATATCGGAAGGCACTGTGTTGAGATTTGTACAGAGCAACCGTAATGGAATAGTGGTCCCGTATGACTTTAAATATCACAGCAGGCAGGGCTACTGCAAATAGACATTTTCCTCCTTGGGCGATGGGCAACCGAGACGCAAAGAATGTATGGACATAAAACTTTTCAAATGTTTAGCAGAAGTAGAGCATTAAGGGGAAAACTCGCTCCTCGTGTGGTCGAAAATTGACCATGGTGTCAATAATTGCTTTAACGTATCAAAGGCATGTGAGAATTCAGTATTTCACGAAATTGGATAAAAAAAATTGCATCAAAATGAGTGCAAGAAGGCTTGGCATCGAAATACATTGAGACGATACTGGGAAAAAAGGCAGGTTCTTCTAGAGTTACACATTTGGGATAAAATAATTTCCGTTCATGTTTTATATTGTAAAATATGCTTTCAATTGAACTAGCAGCATTCAAAGCATACCAGAACCCTACCCAATATGCCGGTACACTTGAAGCAGTTTGAATGTGATAAACTTTTCTCCGATGAAGCATGTAACCCATCGCTATTTTTCCTCATTAGCTTTGTGAAGAAACCGGGCAAGTACTTGTTGGTTCAGATGGACCCATGGAGAGCAAAAAGGAATGATGCACTGAAAGATTTCCAGTTTGATTTGGACTCGCCGGTGCCATCTAAATTGCCGGAAGATATACAGCATGTCCTTCATGAGCTGGTAAGTCGTCGGGCAAGCATCTTGGTAGCCACTGGTAACTAGGACTGACACTGATAATCGTTATTCTGTCTTGCTATCGTGCATATACTTAGACCCGTATACCAAATCTACAACTACCGCCAAATTGCTACTAAGAGGTAGCATGTTAGTGTACAAATGAAGGCAGTTTGTCAATGAAGTGGTACAAATAATTTCATGAGGTAACAAAATGAATGTTTCGATATTTGACACGAAGCTGATTACAAGGGAATGAAATATAAATGAAATATTTCTATAAGTATCTATTTCCCAACTTGAATGGTTTATACCCCAGTTAATAACTGAAACTCATTTCTTTTAACAATTGGGATCAAAGCCATGGCACTGCTTAACGGTAAGCAGAAAAATCGTGCTTACGGTAGCGGAAAATTTGGAGCACTTTTCATGGCGGTACTCGGCTGTTGGTAGGGCTTGTTGTTTTGTCAGTCCGTGAAGCACGTTTTCCCTCCAAGGTAAGCGTGCTTTCCGCTTTGCGTACTGCTTACGGTCTTCAAGAATTACACTGAGCCTCCGCATTCACGATGAAGACAAGTCATAATCTAACCTCCCCTCACTCTTGGTTAACGTTAGATCATATCTTCAATACCACTCGTTTGGAATAGATATTCACTTTTTGACATGACCCCTTAGACAAAGCCGCAGACCTTGAAAAGTGCTTTAGAGGGCACAAAAGTCGACACCTCTGTCATGAACTTCAGTCACCTGTCAAGAGACGTGCTGCAAAAGGCCAACGATGTCTTGGACAAAATCAGGTCGGTAGCTCTAGGAATCGGTGTCTTTGTAATGGCGTCCAAGAAACTTTGACAGGTATTGTAAAGTGTCAAATAACGAGCTTGAGCGATCTGTAGAGACGTTGTTGCTATGATTAATCGCACTGAGCATGTCAACACTCAAATAACCATGCCCAGTTCACCAGTACCACTAACCAGGCGGCCTGGATGCCATGTGTATTCATACATTACAAAGCCTGTGTCCCGCTTTGAATTGTGAATTAGCTGGATACAGTGGCTATGCGGCTATATTCAGTGGTTTCCTTGTAGACGCACAGCCTCTATCTGGCAGCAGTTTGTCCCTTCACATAGGTGGTCCACGGGCCTGGTCTAATTGTTCTGCTGGCCCAGGAAACTGATGTTCCCTAGGCACTGATAAGCACTGAAACCTCGACTTTCATGTCGATAGTAAGCTGTATACTTATCATAAATCCAGGCCCAACTGATAGCTCGAGAAGCCATGTTTGCCATTTTCATGTGCGTGGGTGTAGGTTTGGGTATAATGTGTTTTAATTTCCAAAACCTTCACATTTTTCGTGGGCCCCGAAGTTTTCGCAGGCCCCATGCACAGTTCCTGCCGTGCTTATAGACTAAATGAACTCTGAGATGCCAGTACGGCGGAGGCTGCATACTCACGTACTGCGTTTTCATTGAGACAAGTGCAATCTGGAAGGTCATAACCACATAGATCTGAAACAATGGCGGGACGTTTGTGAAACCATCAGGCGTCAGATCAGTGCCTTAAGCCCTTGCCCTGATAAGATCTGCTTAAACTGGGGGGATTGCCCCAAATTAAAAAAGTAGGGGTCCCCCTGCGTCCCCTGCCAGTAACGTGGAGGATAAAAACAACTTTTCTTCATTCCTCTGCTATCTATGGTTGCTATACCATTTTGGCAAAGCACGGGCGGATCTAGAGGACAAATGGCGGGCATTCCTCGCCAAAAGGAGCATTTTTATTTGCTTCCTTCTGAACATGTGTAAAAAGCCCTGAATTATAGCCGTACCCCGTAGTAAGGCTGTAAAGGTGACATGTCAAAATCTCCCGAATTGTTGCCCTCATTGAAGTTGATGTGGTGCTATCGCAGTAATGGCCCTGACACTCTCTAGTGGAGCTTGACTCGTGCAGGAGAAAATTAACCATTCTATGACTTCATCAATTGATGTTTCATGATTAACCTGCTTTAGAGTTACAAAGCGCTAATGTTTTGAATCATCCAAATGCAGTGAAGTGATCGAAAAGGTGAACTGCTTACCTGGAGGAGATATCAAGGAAATACTAGCCTTGCGTGAAGAAGTAAGTTTGTGACAGTGGTCATTAGAGTTTGACTGTAAATGACTGTCCAATTCATTTTCTAATACATGTATAGCGTCTTTCTACCGAGTATTCAAATTAGCAGCATGAAACAAATTTTAGCGGTTTAATGATTTTTCACACAGTTTAATGACACTCACAATTATAGCGAACTTATCGCATTGTGACAGTTACAACGGAAAAGGTGTTGCAATGGAGTGGAGGTTAGCTCGGGAACTAGAAAGTGTTCTTGGTTAATTGGCAACGGCTGTGTCAGGTTTCACATTCAATGCCTAATAAATGTACTCTTCACTGGTCGAGACATGCTGGCCCTCGTGCATAGGAGACTATTTCTAGTCCCTCAACCTTCGTTCTAGCTCCAATTTCTCATGGACGTGAGAACCAGGAAGAGAGATATACTTGTGCATAGAACTCTGTAAGTGTTACCCCGGCGGTATTAGCTGGATTGATTCTCCTTCATCTCACACTAGTTTCTGATATTCGACTCTCACAGATTTACGCCCTGAGCAACGAGTACTACTATCTCATTCCTCACGAGAACTTTGCACATGACATGATGTGTCCTGTAGACAACGCCAGGGATCTGAACAGCCAGAAAAGCAAACTCTACAGCCTCATGGAAATAGAGATGATAAACCGAATCCTCTTGGGGGCAACACTTAGAAAGAAAGGTTAGTCTGGTGTTGGTCGGAAGTTAGCCCAAGTAGTGGTTTGTACTGAGAATTATCGAAAATACGGTTGAGCACAAATGCTTGACCCGTCCTGGACCGTTGAGACGAAAAGTTGTCCGAGCTTCCATTTATGAAGCAGCCTGACAAGCAGCGGTTATCTGAACAGTAGCTGGGGGGGGGGCACATTGCCCCAGGGGTGGATCCAGGGATTTTTCAAAAGGGGAGGGGTGTGATTCCGGATTTTCCAAAACGGGTGGGGCGTGAGTGAAAGCAGCGATAGTAAAATACCCTTACGGCTTGGGTTCCGGGCATTTCGGGATTTTAGGCACCCTTATGATGCTTTACAGTCACTTTGGCCCCTCCGTTTGTCTTTTCGCTTCCTCTTTTTCTTGTTTTTACTTTTTAAATTTAATTTTTGGGTGAACAGGGGGAGGGGCGTGCACCCTAACAACCTCCTTCCCTAACGCCGTGCAACATGTCTCACCGGAGACATGTTGCAATAGTGTGTTTCTTAAAGCGCCAACGTTGTGGAAACCGTAGTAGGCCTGGGTATTCCACTGGAAGAGTATCTTTTACAAATGTTCACCAAATTCGACAATTGTACAGAAAAATTGCCCCCCTCCACGGTACTTGCAACCTGGTTACGTTACATAATCATTACCTCATTTTGAATGTAGTTTGAGAAAAGTAAAGCACAGCTGTTTGAAATTTCTCCCATGACACATGGATAGGGCTAGTAATCAAAGTCGCCATTCGTATTAGCTTGGGAAGCTTTCTATCCCACCTGAACACGACGATTGTAGTAGTCTTTTTATTTGAAACGATTGGATTCAGTTTTTGAGAGGTTTATCTAGCCAAACTTTTTTTCCAGAGATGAATCCCCTGGACTACATTTATCGTGCCTTAGACTGCAAACTGAAACTCATGGACAAAAATGACGAAGAAACACAGCATGTGCTCCAGTATATCCATCAGTCTAGTGAGTATTCAACGTTTGTTTCAGACGGAGTTTCAGAACTCACCAGGCTACGTTGTGAGTCAATCTGATGATGTTGCATGTATCCTTGAAAACAAAAATCAACCCGTCGGCGTACAGTATTCTAATTGGTGTCACAGATAAGCTCTAGCTGCTCATCCGACTTTATGGTTATAGGAATGATTGGTTACATATAATGATTGGCCTGACGATGGAAATGTTGTTCCAGTGTCCAAGGACACATGTGGCAAAATTCTTACAGTTCTGGTTGAAAAAATAAACGGTCTTGGATTGCTCTCTTCCCAAGGTAATGACCACCCTCCCAAAGTGGAGGCGATCTTTCGGCTGTCCCGTGAGGGCGAGGAGGAGCGACTGCAGTCCTGCGGCTTGGACAATCACAAGCTTCTCTGGCACGGGAGCAGGACTGTTAACCTGCTCAGCATCCTGAAGAAAGGCCTGAAGATATCCCCCATCGAGGCACAGTTGACAGGAGAAGGTTTGGAGAGGTGGGAATGGAGATATAAAATCCTGGAAAAATCACTCAATCTCGCTGTTTTCAGTGAGGTCACCTTCTGAATGCAGAGAAATGAAAGGCCCCAGTTGCATATTACAAGGGTACACTTCTGGGGGCACCCATTTTGTTACACAGTGCAAAACCAAACGTCAGAGAATCGCATTTTAAGTTGGCCACTTACTAAATGATTACTAAAAGATTGTGTTGATTATTAAAGTACTTCGTGCTCAGGTGTACGTCTTGACCCGGCCTAAAAAATTATTCTGTTAAATGCTCACTGTTAATGTAACTAGAAATTAGTTATTCACATAAAACTCGTTCCTTTCATGAAAACCTCAAAATTAGGAAACGAAAGTGGAGTTTGCCCCTTCCTAGAAACGAAAAATTGAGGGGGGATGAAGTTTTTCTCTCATTGCTTAACTTAATATACAGGGCACAAACTTTTCCCTGCACTTTTTGTGAATTTTACCCGACAGCGATCATCTCGATTGTAGCCTGATTTCAGTAGATTTTTACAAACGACTCTGCCAAAATGTCAGCATCAGATAGCCTTGTCAACTTTTAGTCACTTTGAGAAATCAGTGACAGAGTTTTTTTAAGGGGGAACTGTTCAAAGCAAAGCAGATGAACTGTTCAAAGCAAAGCAGATGAACTGTGGCTTCTGCATAATGGGCACCCAGGGGGCACATACTTCCACAGGGGAGGGGATGTGTCATGCACCCTGTTCTCCAACCCCCATAGTTCTCACAGTAACTCATTGCTTATTTTTATATTCAGGGGATCTACACATCAGATGCATTTTGCAAGAGCCTTGCTTACTGTAGAAGTTGGGAAGATTGTCAGCCTTCCCACTTCATGCTATTGTGTGAGGTAAGGCTTTCAGAAGGGAGTCAGTCGAGGACGAGTCAGATTTTTGCACCTGGAATGCTCCGAATAGTACATGAATACCAGAACTGTGAGAAATTACTGTAATATACAAAGTTAACACCACATAAAATTTAGTAATTTGGTTTTTGGCAGTCACTAAATATCTTCTGAAGGCAGCTTTAAAGCAAAGCAGTACATGTAGCAGCTTTCAACCCTACATTTTCTTATAACTAATTTAAAAAGTTAAGTCTTCAGGAATGAAAATGGACGAACTGTCTCTGAAACAACTAGCCCAACCTTCATTTTGCAACCAAATGCACCCCGAATTCGAGAATGAAATTACACACATCAAAGTTTGCAAACTGCTACAATTTCAACCCTGTTGCTGTCACAAGAAAGTCGTATTTCGAGCCTGTTTTCGACATCAACATTGAACCTGACAGAAATGAAACTTTTAGACATTCACCTCACTTCAAGGGGTTAGAATTACAAACAAGCACAGCCTGTTCAAGGAGTGCACCTGCAAACATTATTCTATTTCCAAATCAGTAGATATTTGAAATCGAGTCAGACTTTTCTCATCAAAAGTTTCACAGATCATTTTTCATTTTACAATTAAGCTATTTTTCACAAACTATTTCACAAATTGATAAGACAAACTCTTATGAGAAACAACTGATGTTTGACCGGTTACATTCGTTTATAAATAAGGCCAAAGATTGTTTATCATTAATCCAACAATGCATTGAGAACGTCAAAAGGTTAATTTATTTTAACAATTTGCAGGTTGCACTTGGCAAAACAGCAGACCAAAACGTCCGTGACTCGGAAGAAAAGAAGAAATTTAACAGCACATTCGTCACCGGCCGAAACCGGTCTAACGGCAAGCGCGAACTGTTTCTTCCTTCAGGTAGATTCACGATTAGCATGTCCTTTCTAATGCACTTAGTCAATGATTCGCCCGTCCCCACTGCCTTTATCAGGGTGCTTGTAAAGGCATGTGCCGATGTGGATTGGTCAGAACAATGACATCACAAAGGCATAACCAAACTGGCAAAAGTTCCAACCAGTGACCAAAGCAGAAATATTTTTCCCGGTCACAGTCGCAAAAATGCACCCAAGTGTGGTAGGGACGATCGAAAAACGTACTTAGCGCTCCTAGTACTTTGTTCATTGGACCGTGTCCAGGGCGTTGTCTCTATGGAGAGATTGGGCACGACCCTACTGTACTCACACACAAAGACGCAGTGTGTTACGCTCGTCCGATTGAGCTCCCCAAAGCTGAATAGATTGTTTTATTTAAAGACAGCCAAGGTTTTTTTCTGCTGATTTGCGCACTTTAAGACTACGGTCATACATAATCTGTGCTTCTGCATGCGGAAACCAAAACATAGCTAATCATCGGCCGAACTTAAATAACTTCCTTTTCCATTATTTGAACCCAAGGCTTAATTTGAGCTGAGCACATGCAATTCTGGCATCACCGCGGTTGTCCCTATTATTAGTCTCCCAAAAGAACTATATCCCTCGTTTCATCAGTTAGCATTTTACTTACCACGAGTCTTCATTGTTGAAAATTTGAGGTTCAAACTAATTTCACATACTTAACTCTTGTGTTTTCTCTTGTAGGTGTGTCGTTGCCCCTCGGTTGGATTACTTCCGACTCGGGCTACTGTTACACTGATTACAACGAGTACGTGGCCTACACTGAAGAACAAGTGTGCCTCCGCTATCTTGTGCACATGGCTTAATAACAGTTGGTGGAAAGCCATTAAATTTTGATCTACTCATATCGAGGACGATGCATTTATACTCTGATCTGTCCGAGATTTCATCTACGACATTGTGTCCAAATCCTGCTGAATAGAATCTAATTTCATCATTAAACATCACTAATTATAAAGAGATATATTTGTATTGCAGTCATTTATGATGACGTTAATATATCTTTCTTGGCCAAAGCAATCTTTCATCTGTTTTTCTTTTTCAATACACAATGTCCAATCATGTTGCAATTTCCACAGATTTAAAGTAGTGGGGTCAATCTTATTACATCCAATTAAAAGTTATATAACGTATATATTGATAGATAATACTGGTCCTTACTTTTCGGTGGACCCTCTTTCATGCGCGCGTTTCCGCGCGTGGCAGGTTGGATGAGTTTTTGTACCACTTACCATACCTTCTCCAGTAACCTCTTGCATAAGAGAAAGATAAATTTAAAAATAATTAATTGACTACAAAATGTTTAACTGTATTTCAGGTTTCACTTTGCAAAACGTCCTTGTTAAGGAAAATTACAAAACAGGTGTTTTACCAGTGCCATTTTTACAGGTTGGAATTGCCACCATGCACGTTTCCTCGATATCGAGTGCGCTCTTAGAATAACTCTTGATTTATTACATAGTACGTTGATGTTATATGTGGTAGTTATTATTGGTTACATTAGTTAAACTCTGATTCGACATTTTTAAAAGCTTTTACTTTTTAAAAGATGTCTATTTCAGTTAGCGTGACATTCAAATAAAGTTGCTAACTAGTTTTTCTATGTATGAATTTCATTTTCACAGTTTGAATCGTTTCAATAATGTTTTTCGGAAGGTCTCAGCTGAGGTAGATTTAGTTTGCTAAGGGAAAGTAAAATCTAAGAAGTAAAGTGCTGATGATTAAATGTAGCTAAGAGAGATTTAGTTGGAAATGTTCAGCTTTTCATCAGAGGTTTTACGCTTTATATTAGCACACAAAATAGATTACAAGAATCTTTCGGGTATCAGTGAATTTGTGATTGACTTTAATTATAGTTTCGTGAATATATTTAAAACAGTGAATGAATCAATTCATTACATATTACATTACGTATTACAAGTATTATGAATTGCTCAAGCTGGAATTTTAAACAGGACTTAAAAGTAAAAAAGAATAGTAAAACAGAAAAGTAAATTGTATTTTGTCATTTTCATAATTTTGTGACACTACCATTTAAAACGCTGCTATGTTTTTTTTGGCATGCCTTTTTAATTCTTTGTGTAGCTGACACTATCACTGTTTACGAATGTGATAAAGTTCAATAATTACAATTTATTTTATTTGCTGTAGGCGTTGTGACATACTAAAGTATAGTAACATCTGTTGGTCAAAAATTGAAAACATAGTTTAAGAGTAAAAAAATAAATTGAGAAATATAAATTTTGTAAAAAACTTACATTGATCGAGTATTTTGCTGAGAATTGAAATCTTTCTTTAATAAAAGTGATGGTTTATGGCCCATTTACAGTAAGGTTTCAAGCCACAAATATAATAATTTGTTGAAGCCAGCATACGGTTTGGGAGTTTTAGCACTTCGTTCCTCTGTGTATGTAGTTAGCAAAGGTCTGATCAACTTCCCCGTCTACTACAGTTACTCTTTTGTAGTATACGGTCTTAGTTTAGTGAAGGAATAATTAAAAACAATTATTTTGTCCATGGTGATGTTTCTATGATTACGAAGTTAATGCTACCATAGTGAACATTACACTGAAATAAATTTTATCCTTAGGATTAATAGCGAAACACCCTGAAGTATGTTAACTATATATCCCAAATGAATACTTGTGACCTAGACTGAAAGATTGTGTAATTGGGCTTTGTCAAAATTTATCTAATAAACTTCAATAAACATTGTCATTATTGGTTAAGTTTTGGTCTCGTGGGAGAGTTTGACGGTTTCGGTTCCGACTTAAACTCTGCTGTCTTCTGTGTTCGTTTACCGGTATTCAATACTGGTAATTCATAAATACCTCAGGCAGTCTCCCCATTCAACAACGTGCAATTTGACCGTGTATTAACATTTGAAAATGCCTACTGCGAAGTGATAATGCCCGCTGCGTAAACCACGTGCTGGCACCTAGATAGAAGAAAGTTTAATCGATTCCGATTGGTCAAGAGTGCACACGACTCGCCACGCACGCACCAAGTCCATATAAGGATATTCTTTTGGACAACTTGCACAAAGAATACACCATTAAATGGACGGGGCTGTTTGGGAAAATGCAAGTAAAAATATAGAACAAAATCGCTGGAAATCCATCATATATAATAATTGCTGATAATTTCAATTGCACACAAACGAGAGCACCCCCATTATTCCTGCTTCCTTATTACGGGCCTTGTAGAAGCTGAATGTCGTAACCAACGAATGGCGTACGACAACCGATAAAAAATCGACAATGTATAACCTGTCGACAGGTGATTTAATTAGAAAAAACTTTAACCGAAAATGTATCGTCTCTCGAAGAATTTTAAGCGACAACGTATCAGTAATCGGCCAATAATGGATCAGTATGACGGTACTACGTATACAATTCTTTTTCTCAGGAAAAAGAATTATGTTCGTCATTTTGGAGCATGTGCACACCTAAGTTAGCACCATATGTCCCAGTGGGGGGGGGGTAAAAGGCGCTTGGAGTTCAAACACATTTCAAAACACTTTTTGTAGCCACTTTTTTAAACATGTTAAACTGTGGCATGTTTATTTTTATTCGTTTAGGAATGTGATTACATGCTAAACAGATTTTAGAAAGCTGAACATGCATGTACTAATCAAAAGCGCTTTGCATTTAAACACATTCTCAAACACATTTCAATTATTATTTCATGGGTCAAACGTATGGAAAAAGTGGGCACAAAAATTGTTCAAACTCTAAAGGCTGTTGTTAGTGTGTTGGGTCAGGCGCTTTCATTTTGAAATAAGACATTTTGCTGGTTCAATCGAACTTAAAGTTTCACCCTCCCAGGGGCTGATGCAGAATCCGTTTAAAGTTTTACCTTTGATAGGACAGATGCAGAACCACTTTTTTGGGGGAGGGGCCTTTTTCTTTGGGGGACTTTGGAGAGTTTTTCGCTTGAAGTAGCCTGTTTTATGAAATATCTGAGGGGTGAGGCTACATTTTGGGACGTGAGATTTAAAAACTTTCTTGGCGAAGGAGGCACGTTAAGAGCGAATAGGTTTGCTGTAGCAATATGGAAAAGGTCTTTTTTGAACAGGTCTATGTGTGGTTCTGAAAAGAACCGGACTTCCTAAACGCCTTTGAAGAAAAGGGAAGGAAATAGACAAATAAAGTCGCCTTTTTCAATTTTAGAAAATGGTTCTCTTCTTTCGAGAAAGGGCAAGGAAGATGGTCATTTCTGGCCCTAGTTTCGCCAAAAGTATTTTTGGTTGACCTCTGTTTGATCTGCCCCATCGTAAAAGGCACAACCTTCCCCCGTCTGTAAATGTGTGATCCATAGCCATTGTTTCGAAATAAAAGTTGGCTGTTTCTTGGTTTGCGAATCCAAGGTAATGCCAATTTGACGAAATGTTAACATAAATGCAGCAGAAGCTCTCTTATACCTGAATTCAAACACGAAAATATCGTGACGGGCTGTAATATTGCATTATTTCGTCGCGAAAGCTCTAACCACTCTCGGAAGACCTCCGGAGGAGCGGCACCATAATCAGCTTCTTTGTAATTGTGTTACATTTCGTGCGCACACCGGAAATTGGCCTATTTTTGGATCCTGTCCTGCAGGGAATGGTTTGGCTACTATCCACGACAGGGCAATTGTTATACATTTTTCTGTGTGTGTGTGTGTGAGTTTGTTTCTGCATTCACTTGGGGACCCTAAATAATAGNAGAGCAATGCAAAGACGTGCACTGTAATAAAGATGAGTTTAGCCGTTACAAGTCCTGTGGAGGACAAGGATCTAAAAAGTCCATGCTCAAATTTAAAAAGTACAAATTCAAATTAGTCACTGTACCTTGGTAACAGTTAAACTAAAAACGAAATTCCAGGGCATTTTATTCAAAATAAAACTAAAATCGAAGTATATTGTAGCGGCAAGTGGAGTTATCCTCGGCCGACGCCAGCGAGGGGTCTAACTGAGAAGGCCAAGGGAGATGGATCGTTTGGGGCAGTTTACCACAAGGCGCAAGGCATTGCGCCACCATTACCTCAGAGAACCTATACGGTGGTGGCACCTAGGACACATAAGATCGGGCAGGGAAGGGGGTTGTAGGGATGGGTGCTCTCACTTATCAACCAGCACACGACACCGTTTTCTGATTTAGTGATATTTTATTCTTCGGTTATTATAATCATCTAGGCTGTGATCATCAGACTGAATTGGTGAATGGGTAGACACTAGAACCTACCTATAAAATTTTCGCGGTGATATATCCTACTGATCCTTAGGAGGACTCTATCTAACTGAAGGGCTTTTTCCCGAAGTATAAGGCTCTGTCAGCAATTCTCTAGCTCTAAAACCGGTCTAAGCTAGAAGTTTAACATCCACTCACCACCTAGTAATGTCTCCCGTGGGGCGGAGTTCCTCCCTCCGTGAGCTCAGCTCTCTCATTTATAGTAACGTGCACATTTTAATTGCACGTGCACAGTTAAATTAATGAACTGGTGGTGCACTGGTTGTGGACTAAGACTCTGCACGAACCTAGAACGAACTAACTTCTCCGGCTCCAACGCAGAGTGTATGGAATTCCATATCTGCCATTGCCCGTTGCCCGTCGTCTGTCGCTTTTCGCTTTTTGTTGTGTCCCAATTCTGCCATTTACCAGTTCCAAACATACCATTTTCCGTAGCCCGTCGTCCGTCGTCCGTCGCCCATCACCCATCAAATGGGTTGCATAGGACCTGCAAAAGCCGGGGTTTAACAAATGACAATGTGATGATTCCATTCACTTCTAAGGATTTTTTCCTAATAGGCAAGTACCCACCTGCAAAGCATATATTAGTCCCATAATTAATGCCAGTAATGGTAGACTACTCCTGCCCATTGACAAGAAAATATCGCCTCTCTCAGAATTCAACCAAGTGTTTTTGGGGGAAAACATTTTCAGCAAAAATGTTCAGGCCAACTTATCCACAGTCTTATTGTAGTTTGCATATTGTAAAAATGTGCCGATTTGTTTTCATCCAATTCCAGAAAGTAATCTGCCAACCGATACAGATATTCCATTTTGTCCTTTTAATTTCACCTTGAAATTCAGAAGTACTAGACAGTGCTGTGGATAACAAACTGTTTATTAAATGTATTGTTAGGGGGCAATTACCACTTGGTTTAAGTTTCAGAAAATGTGATGTGTCAGTTTTTGTGGGTGTGTATGCCATGGTGGATAGACCAATGAGTACAGGTTGTCCAGCACATCAGCATTATTTATGGGGCTAACTAGTACTGTGAGCCAACCTGCAACTCAAGTCATGTCTAATTTGGAATATACAACAGATTTTATCGTAGGTATACCTGCCCTCAAAATAATGTTGAATCAGTTCGTCTCTTATGGAAACTATTAAGGATTCAAACAGTGCAAATAATTTATTATTTACATTCCGTTCTGTGGGATATCGTGCAGGGACAGACAGAAATATTACATGGGCTACAAAGACCTAAAGTCAGGCCGTTGACGAGTAAAGTTACGTCAAGAGTAACAAAGTTATCGAGAAAAACAATCTACTCTAACAAAAGTCTAGTTTGTTAATTTGTTTATGTAACAAAACATTGTATTATTTCAAATAAAAGTCACTTACCGTCGTCAGTCTTTAAAAATGAAAAGATATTAATTTTTCTTTCAAGTGGAGTTCATCGCAACTGCAAAAACGAATACATCTCCTAGTTCTACTGCTAAAATGAGAGTCAGGCATGGTGGATCGATCGAACAAGGACATGTACATGTGAAACGATCAAGGGTCAAAATTAAAAATACCACTCTGCAATCGTGGCCAAAAACACACACACACACACACCCACACGGACGACGGCGACGCACGACGGGCGACGGCAGATATGGAATTCCATACAGAGCGCGCGTTTTTATACTTGGTGCGCCTAGGCCATTTTCCAATACTCAACTTTGTCTCCGACTCAGGCTTTGTCTGCGAAACCAATCCCGATTGTGGGCCTGAATCGTTTAAATTAAATTGAAATAAGTTAAGGTTTGGCTTTTTTCAAGATGTATTTTTGCGTTGGGGAGATGTTAATTATATATAACAGGTTNACTGTATGCTCAGTGCTTGTCCGAGAGCTTGCGAAAAACTGAGCATACAGTGCTTATTAATGTACGTTGGGTGAGGGCAAAACCTGTTATATATAATTAAGGTTTGGCTCTTTAGCATCTTACTTGATGTTTTGTGGCACAATCCGACTTGCCTCTGCGCTTGCAACTTCAAAGTCAGGCAGTGAAAACAAAAAACAAAAAACAAAAAAAGTTGAAGCCTCCGACGGAGCCGAACCCGAGCGCTGGAAAACGGCCCTAGATTTGCGCTAACCTCCAGCGCGGCATGTCAGCCCAGGCTGACGTATGGGTACTTGTCCCCTGGACAACTACGGTACCACCCAGCTACCACTCAGCAAGTTGCTATTGCGTTACAATAATTTTTAGCCGTTGGTAGCCCTAAAAATTCTTCAAAATCCGCTTTAAGGTTTTGCTCACAACAAAAATGGGGGTGGGGATCAATAGGCCACCCCCCAAACGTTGGAGGATATATACACCCTCCCCCGGATCTACGGCCATGGTCGGTTCTTGATTCCAACGAACTTTGGACTGCAAATGCTTGCGTTGTTTTATATCGCACTGCGATGGAATCAGCTGTGCTTCTATGGGGAAGGCCGTTTTTGGAAGGCTTTTTTCCCCTGCAAAACACTACTCTGGGATTTGTAGCATTATAACGACCCAGGAAAATCTCCCACTCCGAGTCAACTTTTCGTGATAAGGTAGGGCCTACGTGTACCGATAGTTTCAAAGACAGTTTTTCAGACATTTCAATTAGTAGACCCACACCACCACCACTAGGATAGAAACGCCATAACATAATTGCCGCAAATATACATTTTGGTTGCCAAACATGTACCTGACACTACCCATGGGTGATATTTCTGCAAACCATGGACGCTCAGGCGGATAGAAAACAATAATCACGGGTATAATGAGGAGCTCTGTTTGCAAAAGGATCGCACAAGGTTTCGTGTTTTGTTGGTTTTGTTGTCTGGTTTTGTTGTCTGGTCGATACCTTTTCCAAGACTTAGCACAACTACTGCTTAGGTCCCCCATCTACTCTTTGAAACCTCATCAGTAAAGTAATAAAACCAAATACAGCATGTTTGAGGAATGGCTTTCTATTGTTTTGATTCATAGGAACTCACGGGGTTGACTCCCACCTCTCCCCGTGGTTTTAGTAATTTTTTTCCATACTTTCTGACAAATTAAGCTAAGGCTCTAATACAGCCTTACACCCCAGATCCCCGCGACACATGGTGGGGGCGTCATGGGCTATTTTTGGGGTAAGTCTGGTCCAAGCCCCGTCCCCAACAAAGTTTATGAGTGCTACTGCTTGTGATTCCAAACACAGCAAAACACTTGACAAGGTCGTGTAAAAGTCTCCATGAAATTTTCCTCATTAAAAGTCACATTCTACTTTAAACTGAAAACTTACTCAAACAAGTGCACGCAGTAACATAATTTTTAGAAGTTATTGAAAAAAGTAATGTGTATCAAAGAGTCTCGAATTTCAAGCGCGACACTGCTTCAGAAGTGCTTTTGTTTTCAGAGAAATATCGGAGAAATTAAAACAATGGAGGATTTCGAGTCCCAGCATAGATTCGTACGTTGGCCATGGAATTTTGCATTAGTCGTGTACTGGTCGTCCTTTGAAATAAATTTCGTTGCTGTTTAAACTATAAGAAAAAATACTATAAATCAATTGTATTTTTAAAAGTAAGGTTAGCTTTAGTTTATAGACACAACGATATTGAGTACCCTGTATTTCAGTGACTTGACTGGTCTCTGTTTACTTTACATAATTTGGGTGTTTTTTTTGTTAAAGTGGAGCTGTTGTATACACGTTTCATCCCTGGTCGAAAGAATATTCCACATTTTCCATTTACTTTGTAATCTAAGAAGCATCAATGTTTGGATTTTACCATATACTCAGGAAACCATTTCAACGTGCTTTGATATTGAGTATTATGTACAGCTGCGTTCAAAAAACCTTTGCCCGATTTTACTTTGTAGCCCTTTTATTGTAACATCAACCAAAATTCACCTTTTCTTTGCAGATTTTCCAGCTTTATTTTTTTTAAGGTAACAACGTGAGAAAGAGCCCTCTATCCATGGGCAACCGATGGGGAATCGTTGTTCTCTGTGCGTCATTCGTCGTACATCTGCTTGTCACAGCAATGATGCGGTGTACCGGGGTGTTGTTTTCTAGCTTTCAAAATGAATTTCAGAGTACCTCTGCTCAGACTGGTGCCATTTCAAGCATTATATCGTCCTTTTCCTTTTACGGATGTAAGTAGAAATTCAATTTTTGGTGTCTTTCAGTGTTTATCCGATTTCCATTTTAAACCATCTAAAAACACTGGGCAACTTCTAGCAAAGCGACTTTAATGGTTAACAATTGTTCGAATAACATCGAACAAGAGATGGATGGCTTGGACCATCTAGTCGACCATTTGGTGTCAAGCCTTGGGGTATTGCCGCAAAGCAGATTTCAACGTGAAGGGCAGAGGGAACCATTCACATAAAATAATTTGTGTAAGATACCATTGACCATGAAAGACGCAAGATTTGCAACCAGCAACGAAATTTAACAACGATGAGATTTTGCAGATAGTTTTCTCTGGATGTTTATGTAGCTGTATTGCACATGCGTGTCGTAGGTTGCTAAATTTGTCAGATTCGTGCTATAGAAATGGTTGGAAGAACTGCCACCTGACAGTATGGGCCAGCGCGCACGGAGAGTTGGTATCACGCTTTTGTGTACACATAATGAACAGCCATGTTTAAACCAAAATCTGCCGCTGGCGCTACCCTCTTGGCATTTGTCAGAATCGTGAATACAGAGAGTTGCGACATAAATGTCACCCTTGTTACATCAGAATTATTTACCTGTGTGTCTTTTTTATATTAATCCGTGTGCACACACCCCTCTGAACATTAAACCTTTCAAAAGTTTTGTCCAATCAATCTTTTCCGGCGTGCACTTCCTGCAGCCACACACATTTTAGGTGTGTCCGTTCACCAGGCAAGATATGGGACGGAGGGGTACCCCCCCACATGTCCTATCCCTTATATACACTCTAGACTATTATTACCTAACACCCCCCCAGAAGTCTGTAAAGAATTCCTGGGATTCCGATCAAACAATGACCAACACAAAGGCGGGGGGGTTCTCTCTGTCCCACATCTTTCTTTAAATGTAGTCTTACGTAAGTTGTTTTATCCTCAGCCATGGTTATCGTTCGGAAAACGCCAGATATATTGTCCAGTGCACTGCCGTATTTCCATAAGAAAACGTGCCTTGTTGATGTAACTTATCCCAAGAAAATGATGGAGCGGTAACAATCCTTGTTGGAAACAAACCGACAGGTGTATGGGCCAATGCTCATGAACAATAGCTGCACGCTCTACTCTAAACATCTGAAAAGCCATGCATGTTTGAAAAATCTGAAGCTCGCGCTATACTTCTCTCTGTAGATAGGGCCTGTTTGTTTCACACGGATCTGGATCGTGATCAGAAATCCAAGAGCTCGTTCACTCGGTCAATTGGGCGGATTTTGGTGTCAGTCATCCAACGAAAAATTACTGATCGCTATTGTGTTGCGCTGATCTCGAGCTGCTGCACACGTTAACTTTGTCTATGAATTTCTTAGCTTTTCACCGCTTTGAGGCTCATGTTTAGAAGCCACATATTGTTGTGAACTCGGTAGCCATCTATTATTTATAGATCTACGTTTTGGCTTGCTACTGCTGTATATCATAGTTATACGTATACATATGTAACAATACGTGTAGTGGGTCAGTCTTGCATCCAGTGCACATTCAGCCAACACATTCTGTCTGACTGTGTGGATGCGCCCGGACCTCTTTTGTGTTTTCAACTATGCTAGCAATTCACGACGGTGGTGCTATTCTTCGTGCACTGGTTTATATGAACGCATCGGGACCTCGCCATCGAATCCGTTGTATATCTAATGCAATGGGATTGTTCAGGTCAGTGGTAAAAATCAACTCGACGTGGGTGTTGTGCTGGAACTCACAAATTACGGAAAATTTCCTCAATTATTACTGAACGCCGGCCAAACTGCTACGTCTGCCATCGGGGTATCTGTCGCTTTAATTTGTCTCTGATCCCCATTAATCATAATCAACAGGAGAGCCTGATTCGGGTACCGTAGCAACATGAGGGTTGAATTGTAGTTGCCCCAAGGACAAAGTTTGCTTCATGGAATGTTTGTTCCATTAACAACAAGGTCGCTTCAGTTTGTGATTTTATATCCGGTAATGACATTGACATTTTGGCCCTTCAGGAAACCTGGCTTACTGGTACTGATCATGACAATTGTACTTTGGCTGATATTAAACAGTTGCTACCCAACGACGACGTTGTGCATAATTCTGAACGATCTCGACGTGGAGGGGGTGTCTGCTTTATTCTCAAACTTGGCTTTGATAAATTGGTGAATAAAACTAATTCTTTCAAATCATTTGAATATATGGATGTAACCATATCTAGGAAGTCGTCGAGCTGTAGGATGTTCAACATTTATCGTCCGCCTGGGTCAGCCAGAAATAGAGCTTCTCCCGCAGTGTTTTTTGATGAATTTTCAACATAGCTGGAATCAATTACCCTATTCCCGGCCAGATCTTGCTTTTTGGTGACTTTAACTTTCACATGGATGTTCCTGGTGATCGAAATGCTTCCAACCTCTTACAAATTGCTGAAAGCGTTGGTCTTCAACAGCTCGTCACTGGTACAACTCACCCCTCAGGTCATACGCTCGATCTTGTTTTCTGCCGCAGATATTCTCCGTTGTTAGCTGATGTGAGTACCATCCGGGGGCTTCCATCTGACCACTCTGCCCTTGTGTGTCTTCTCAATTTACAACGCCCAGCTGCTGTAAAAAGACGAGTGAGCTACCGGAAACTGCGGGAAATCGACTTGGATGCCTTCCAGGCAGACATCGAATCATCTTTGAGACGTGACGAGCATATCTCAGATCTTACCGAGNGTTGACTCCACTCTGCGGTGTCCACTTGATAAGCATGCGCCAGTTGTCAGTAACACTATCACTGTTCACCCAAACTGTCCATGGTTCTCTGATGAGCTTCGTCGCATGAAGCAATTGAAACGGCGTGCTGAACGACAGTATAGGACCACGGGTCTGGGGGTGCATCGTCAAATCTGTTTGGATCATTGCAAAATGTATAAATGCCGCCTTTAGTCATCTAAGAGAAACTACCACAGCTCCCAAATTGTTCTTCTCACCGTTGATGAGCATCAACAGGTAGTTCTTATTCTCCTTGATTTTAGCTCCGCATTCGACACAATTGACCATGCCATCTTACTTGATCGCTTGGAGCATCGCTACGGTTTGACCGGGTCTGTCCTTGACCGGTTTCGATCGCACCTTGCAGATCGTTCCCAAACTGTGGTTATTGGCGACTCTGAATCTGCTCCACAGCTTATACAATGGGGTGTTCCACAGGGATCTGTATGTGGTGCTCCTCTGCTCACCTTCTACACTGCCCCTATTAGTGACTTCATGGCCAGACATAACGTCAACCATGTCATGTATGCTGATGACACGCAAGTGTATCTGATCTTTAAGCCGACTGAAGCTGCCAGAGCCATTCACCGCCTTGAGGAGTGTGTAAGTGAGATCAGGGCTTGGGCTGTCACCAACAAGCTAAAGTTCAGTGATGAGAAAACTGAAATCCTTCATTTCAGCTCTCGATTTGTCGACCATGCGAACTTGCCGCCAGTTATGATTGGCGATCTACTCGTGGATTTCTGTGACAAGGCACGTAATCTGGGTGTGGTCTTTGATGGTGATCTGCGTTTAAGGACCGTTTTAACGTATGTCGAGTGGGATGGGCATTTATCTACATAATTGGCTCGATTCGAAGCTATCTTAATAAATCCCCGACTGAGAAATTAGTGCACGCTTTTATCACCTCGAGAATCGATGTCTGCAATGGCCTGCTCGTGGGCCTTCCAATCAGTGACATACACAGGCTGCAAAATGCAGCAGCCAGATTGGTCTACCGTTGCAAACGGAGTGAGCACATAACCCCAATCTTGCAATTACTTCATTGGCTTCCGGTATCTCAGCTTATTATCTACATAACCCTCATCCTTACATTCAAAGGAGTGCATGGACTGGCGCCATCCTACTTACAAGAGTTGGTACATCGTTATCAACCCACTCGTCAATTGAGGTCTGCATCGCGTATGCTGCTGCAGGAGTTTCCCCCCCCCAAGGACCTCCTCGTACGGTGGCAGAGCATTTGGCGCTGTTGCTCCCTCTCTCTGGAACAGTCTGCCTTTGTATGTCAGGGAATCAGTGACACTTTATGTTTTCAAAAGTCGGTTGAAAACATATTTTTTAAATCAGTATTTTAACTCATGATATTCTCCAAATCTGATTATGGATGTTTTTGTCTTGAGGTCCAAATGGGTTAAGTTTCATATTTGTTCGGTTCGGGAATGCACTTCGTCGGTTCACAAACGACTAGGAAGTGCACGCATTTCGGTCGCTCTGCTAACAGCAAAATGAACACTTGCCACCAACATGGCTCTTTTCAACCAATATGGCGTCTTTTGGGGGCGAATGCCAGAGCTGTATATAGAGAGAGTAGCGACAACTTCACACTTTGGAATCAAAATGGGTGTTCATTATGTGTGCAGTAGAGCGTTCGTCTATTGGGCCTCGAGTTCAACCAAGAGAGGGCGATATTTCCTTACAACAGAGGCTCCTTTNGTAGCTCGCGCGCATTCCTTATATACCCATGCGCGGGTTATGATTATGGGATATAAATGCTTAACTGCAAATAATTAAAGAGGGCGCTCTAACCACCCCGCTATTTCGCTACAGTATTAACTACGCATCGCTGGTTCACGAACAACTAAGAAACGCAAGCACCACTACCGACAACATGCATACATTTACTCCAGACCAACGCGGCTCTTTTATGAGTGGGTACTTCTGCTCGAGGCGTATTGTGTGATAATAAGTCCATTTGCACTGACGCATAATCATTTCAGCCGCAACTCTTTCTATAATGCGCTCTGCACGGATTTATATTAAAGTCTGGACCTCTACCTTATGCAGCCAGTAGAGGTCATTCAAGCTACAGAACGGACATCTTAACGCGCTGGATGCAAAGGTGATTCTAAAGCTAGTTCGCCACTGTTAGTCAACTTCGTTCATGGTATCAATTGTTACAATGGCAAGCGAGCAAGCCACCACCTTTGTGGGTGCACCCCTGTGAATTTAATCACACTGACAGACTTTTAATTTCAAATTCTTTTTAAAATACAACTATCACAGGTGTTAAGACCACACAGCAAAATGATGTTCAGCATGTCGTCTTTCAGTTTCCTAAAGCCGACCAACCCTCAGGCTAAACGAGGAATATTTGGGAACTTGAAAAAGAATCATTTTGTAAAAGAATCCCTCTGAAAAACATCTAAATAGTGCCACTTTCGGACCCGCCTTCATCCAAATTGCTCAGAAATGGAAGCCCTAATTCCATGCCAAAGGTTAAGTGCAATATCTCTTCAATTCCCCAAGTCCATGGCTCTCACAACTCTCTTATATACAATGTCTTGAGTGTATAACCTTTGGACAGACTTTTTTTCGTGGATGCATGGTATAAAGCTGCTGAATTAAGTCGATAAGAGGGTATTTGCGAGTCCAGACTTTTATATGGCGCTCTGGCATTTGCTGTAACGAACAACGCCCTCTTACGGCTATTACAAAAATAAAACAGCGCGTTGAAGCGACATTTATGTCGGCATAAATTTGGCGCCGTGTGGAAGGTTGGTTGGGATTTGTTCTTGATCTGCAAGGCCAGCCGGCTGACACTTCGCACAAGCAAATAGATCTTTTTCACGCATAGATTCATAATTATGCACGCATAAAATAGCATGGCAGGATTGGTATCTGGGTACCAACTTCATGTACAATTTCTCTATGATCCTCCGAGTTTTAACCCTTTGATGAAGTGGAAAATAAGAAATTCAGAAAAAATGCACCTGCTTCCCACAAAGGAAATAGGCAGGGTTCCTAACCGCATGCCCAAATCAAATAGAAGAGATTTGTGATAGGTCCATTATTGGTAGAGGGATTACGTCCCCCATCACACAAACTTAACAATTATTTAATGTAAAAAATAAGAGCAGAAATAGTTAGAACTGAGCCCATGGATTTAAGGTTAAATAGCACTTTAACAGACATCTCTATAAAGTTACAAGTGAATACAGTAAAAATCCAAGCCAAGCTAAGCCCCCTCCCCCAAAAAGCACTCATGGAAAATCTAAGTGTCTAAAATTACAGGCACTCTAGGCGGAATACTTGGGAATCGCTTTGGCTGTCGGATTGCAACCATGATTGGTGGTGTGCTCAGCATCGTGGGAATGGTAGGTGGCGCTCTCGCTAAAAATATCTATCACATGTACGCCACGTCCACAGTTATAGGTGAGTTCATTTTCCTTGACAAAACTGAAAATTCACTCAGCACGTACAAGATGGTGCAGGTTTATTCCATCGGTCAATTAGAAGCTCCATGTGCACCCAATTTGAGTAAATTCTTTTGTGAAAGTTTCATCCTAACATTTGACTTCTTATTTAATTTCTTTGAAAATGAGCTTGCAAAAGATCATGTATTAGTGCGTTCCTTAGTCAGTGTGGTGTGTTGTTTTCTAGGAATCGGCAATGGCGTTGCATATGCACCAGCAATTGTTGTAGTCGCTAACTACTACGACAAACGCTATCCGCTGGCGTGCGGATTTATGTCTGCTGGACATGGCCTTGGATTGACAGTATTTGGCCCTTTCATTCAACTTCTGGTCGACACCTATGGCTGGCGGGGAGCTTTGTTGGTAACCGGCGCACTAATTGGAAATATCTGCGCTGCGGGAGCTACCTTCCGTCCAAAGCCGCCAACCTGTAAGAAAGAGACGGTTCCTGCGGATGAACAAAGCGAGGAAGAACTTAGTGCGCGCCAGGATGTTTCCAGAAAATCTGCACCGAGAAGAAATCCCATGATGCGTGTATTCTACAGGGTATCCAATGTCCTGCGGCTCTACTTGCTCTGTCAAAGTTATCGATTTGCAATGTTTTGCTTTGCCCAGGCCGCCTACATCTTCTGTTACGGGTCCTACCTTTTGTACATCGTTCCCCGTGCCAACTCATTTGGCATTGAAGACCAAAGGGCTGCTTTTCTCCTCACTGCCTTCGGGATTGGCAGTTTGGTTGCACGTCCTCTTTGCGGACTTCTAAATCAAAAGGTGTCATCTATGGTCATCTACCAAGCATCGATGCTCACCAGTGGCTGTTTTGTTCTGCTAGCGCTGCTAGACGCCTACCCTTACCTCGTCGTCTCTGCCGTCATGGTTGGACTTGCATTTGGGTTTGAGATAACAGTGAACCGTGTGATGATGCGTGAGTTTGTTGGCGTGGAGAATTTCGGCTCGGCTATAGGACTCTACTCTGCCTTCGGAGGTGTTGCTGATCTTACTGGCCCTATAGCAGCAGGTACACGTAAAACACCACAACAAACATACTGAAGAGGACATTTTGTTAAACGCTCCACACTTTTCATTGTCTCTTTAAAGAGAAACGTAATTCCGCTAAAATGCATTGATCGGAAGGGGCCTATTCTGCTTAAAATAACTTTTAAAGAATAAAAATTCGTTACAAATAAATGCCTTTGTATCTAAATGCAACGAAATTGGCAATGCTTCTAAACAAACAAGACAAACAAATATATTAAAATCTCGCATAAAAGCTTCAGTTTAGGAGTATTAATTTTGTTTCACTTTCAGGTGCCCTATATGACGCCATTGGAGGTTTTTTGCCTCTTTTCGGTATTCTGGCAGGGTTTTCGTTCATCGCATCCCTAGCCATGCTATCAACACCACTGTTGAAGAAAATAGAACCAGGTGTATACAGCCAGGTAGCAGTGGACGCCGTTTGACAGTCCAGATGACAGTGGGTTTTCGCTGTCAAAGGTTTGCACATTAATGCAGCTGTATGGGCTTAATCCTCTTCATTGCTCAGTCGTTTTTCACCTCAGAAGACCATAGATTCAACTAATTGCAATTACACATTGTAAAATTAGTACAAGTTTTGGACTGTTCAAGTTATGTCCGTCTACTGACTTGGCCAAAACTGCATTTTTAGGTGCAGTGATATCTTCACTTATAACTAATGCTCCTGTACGAAAGCCCGTTAGTGTCATTAAGTACGTATTTCCAAAAGTGAAGTTTATTTTTATGAAGTCCTTTTTTGTAAGATTCTAACTCCGTTTTTACGAGATTTATCTTTCCAAAAGTGTTGTTTGTTCGAGATATACATATATTCTCCAGTTCGTGATTATGAGATTTACCCGTAGAAAAATTGTTTCTAATTTTAGAAACAAAATATTTTTTATGTTTATTTTTAGGAGTTATGTGTTTTGGAAGTTCGTTTTCATGAAATACAAAACAAACTGGAAAAAATTATATCTCTTTAAAATTATCTTGGAAAAATGCTCAACATAAAAACAAACTTACCAAAATTATACTTTACTTTTGAAAATATACTGAATAACACTAACTTTTATGAACATATAAGTAAGAAATAGCTCTGAAGAGCAAAATTCATTTTTGGGACATCTCATTCACCCTATCAAACAACGCATAATGCAACATCGGTTAACGCTTCTGCAACGTGGGATCTGGATAAAATGACAGCACACATAATTATGTGGAACTATATTCATGAAAAATACTTATTTGTGTAAACATCTGATATAGTTTAAATTTTAGTAAAACCTCATTGCAACCATGTACCTGTAGATACAGATAAATGAAGAGTTCATGATGTTTATACTCATCTTAATATTTGCGAAACTATATTTGACATCTCATTTTACTCCTATATAATAAGAAATGATTTGACATCTCTTTATCGCTACTCCTATTGACAAGTAAACGTTTTAATTGAATGCTTTAAGGTTTGTGAGCAAATCCTAAGCCCAAAATTTCATCATTGAAAATACCGGTGAGACGCTTTGCTCATTGGCTTACTGTCATGAACTGAAACAACAATGAGTCATCTAAACAAACAAAATATGGGACGGGAAGGTATCCAAAATTTGGACAAGACGCAGAAACAGCTGAAACATAGAGGTTTATGCATTGGATGACTCGCACTTTTGCTCATAAATATGCAAATTTGCAATTGCACACAAAATGAAAAAGGTAAACCGAAAATTGGGTGGTGTGGGACACAAAAGAACATCAGGAACTGCACCATTACAAGGTTTTTCCCTTGCACGCCCGTTAAAATTTTGTTTCATTGCTACCTTACGATGTCCCCAGCCTTAATGTTCTGACCTATTTATGTGGAATTTCCAGATGACTTTATCACCAGGGCTGGGGAGATTGAAGTTTCAATTTATCGGAAATATATTCATCAGATTCATTTGCACTGTAACATGCATATCTTTTATGTAAACTAAGAAGAAATATTTACGTGGCACATGCTTAGTTCATTGTTGACACTTTGCAATGGTTAACCATACTTAACCACATTTCAGTAGAGGGTCCAAATGAAATTGATCCGTTCCCCTTACCCGATCGACCCGGAGAGACCACAAAAATTTTATTGTAGTTAAAAAAGATAAGCCAGTAAACTATACCTGTTGTCTTCTTTTCATTTACGAAGCGCCCCTAGAAAAATCTTTCTACGTCAAAAATTATGTTTTTTTAATTGTTTCGCTGCTTATATTAGTTATTTTAGACTCAAGAAACGTCGGTTGGTTTTACCATTTTCTTGCTCACGATTCAATTCGCTATCACAGTGATGTTAAATGCTCATTGAAGCCTTACTGGTCTTAACCTAGCCACAAATGCACACTTAAGTTGCCAAAGATGGCATGATGGAAATGCGGAAATTAGTCCATGTATACAAGCCAAAGTAGCGTTGCAAGTCGACAAACATTCGTTGGGAAAGAGGATTTTTGCAATATCAAGGAACATGAATTCGGCGTGTATTTTTGCCATGTTCATGACATTTACTTTTAGGTTATACCGCTCATACTTGAAGCGAGCGTGTTTCCACAAACTTCCCGGCCGTAACGCGAAGTTCATCGCTTGCTCCACAAATGCATCACATACGTTTACCCCGCAATACACGCCTATTTTTGGCAGGTTCTGTGGTGACTGTAACATTGTGCGCACAGTGGTGTGCACGACCCGATTTCTTCATTGTTTCATAAATGTTTTACCTTAATATTGTCTTCATTAATTGAGGCAACTTTTTTCCAGGCCTGTTTGTGGCTTTCTTTCAACAGCTTTTTAATGGAGTACCTGGTGTGCGCATTTTCTTCCTGCAGTGTTGCCAAACGTTTTGTTTAAAACAACGTTAAATTCATTCACATTCTGGTACAATTACCTTCACAATACATGCTTCGAACCTTTGGGAACAATTTCATGTCATGAAATAAAGTCGAAACCTCAAAAATCGGTGGCCTAAATGGGGAACAAATTCAGCGGAGTGTCCCCTAACGTGTCGCACTTCAGAAAATCCAACATTTAAGAATTTCGTTTAAAGTAATAAACTCAGATAAATCATGCTTCTACCCATCTGCAAGTTTGTAAGAAATGTTTTTTTCCCTGAGTTTTGAATGCATTTATTTTTAAAAGAGCTCATTGTGCACTTCGCAAAAGCAGGCCAAATAAAACTTTGTTTAAACTTTGTAGCGGGAACATAATATAAAATTTAGAAGTGGTAATTTGAGAGCTTGATAACATTTCAACTACTGTGAAATTTGAGGACTTCTGTAGACGTCGCTCTGGCAAGGCACGAGATGCCGAAAATCGAAGTGCGCCGCGGTAAGGTACACGTGACCACAACTAAAATCTGGAAAGAAAATCCGACCTACCGACCTCATTTTTTAAAAGGTGAGCACTCAGAAGCAGAAAGACTTTTTTAAACAAAAGGTAGGGCTTTTGATGAAAGTAACGAGACAGGTAAAACGTCAACTCCAACTCAAAAAAAAAATCTCCTGAAGCCTCCCAGACGGGTTTTTGAAGTTTGTTATCTTAAGAGGAACTAGTGTATAACTACAAATATATACACAATAGTCTTTACATAGCGGTATCTGTTACGAAATGTATCACGTACTACAGTTGTGGTGAAAAGTTTACATAAAGAACTAAAGAAGGCCCTGTTCTGTTAAGTTCTGAAAATTCAACTTCTTGTAGGCTATTGTCTTTTTCCATAGATGTTAATCAAAAATTTCACTTTATGTACAAATTTCAGAGCATCAATTCTAGTAAAAGTGTCCAATTTCAATGAGGCAAGGCTAATAAAAGCCACTGAAATCTCAGATTGCTGGTGTCTCGCATTAAATCAGAAGTCTAGTATCTACTGTGACTGTAGTATAGGCTGCCACTACAAGCAACAATGAGAGTCACTACAAAATTATACCAACTTGCCAAGGATAGCTGCGTTGTTTTTGTCAATGATCCTAAAAGTTTATAAACTCACAAGGAAGTGATATGACTACAGATGCATACCTAAGTCAATGGACCAAAACAGCTCAGTCATCGTTTTCGTTTAGTGAGTATATCGAGATTATAATTCATGATATTATTCTCGGTATATTCACCAGCATATAAAAAAACAAGGGATAACGCACACTTAGCACCAGTTTCAGTTTATAGTTTTTGCTGACTAACCTGACCTTTTCAGAGAAAAAACCTTATGTGAAAGTAAAGAGAAAGGAAAACCTAGAATAAAATGAAAGTCAAGACACTGGAACAAATGTAAGTATTTCTGGATCATCTTTTAATCTTCAGCAGATGCATTATTCCCCTACAAAGAGTACAGACATAAAGAGTACATAAATTTCATAACAACATGATCAACTTATTTATAAGCTGCAAAGTTGGTAGTATTGTGCAGAAAAGGTTAGCATTATCCACCCTAAACGCCCTGTCACTCCTTGACGATTTAGCCAGTGTTGTTGAATAGCTAGTGTACGTCAAATAAATTAAGGGTAATTTTTGTATAAGTTTAAGGGCACGCTGAAGCACGGTGGTATTATTTTGATCGTAGTACGGCGAGGTCGTCGAAATATTTTATTCATGTTCATACGTCCAGCATACGCGGGCCATACGTTATAGGTAAGCTATGGGATCGTTGACACAAATCCTACAGGTGACTTGTAAGTTACTCATTTAATGCGTCGAAATTATGTCTAGCGTACCCAAAATGTATTACTAACCTATGGGTAACGTGCTTTGAACCTATGTGTAGCTTATATCAAACTTATCTCCAACGCATTTTGACGTATGTGCACGTATTTGACGCGCTCCAGACGACCACAGAACTTACTAAACGTGTTTCTAACTTACAGCTATTGTATGTAAGTTATCTATAAGTTGTCGAAACGTTCTATTTATTTACTAATACGTTACTATACGTCCAACATGTTGTGGGTACGCTATGTATACGCCCAAACTTGAAAAAAATCGATAGTTCAG